TCATCGAGTTTTCGATGAACAAGGGGAACAGCGAGTCCTTTCGTAATGTCGTTTCGCGGATCGTTTAATATACCCCCATTAATTAGGTCGACGATGTCAATCCTATCTTTATCTCTGTCTCGGTTCTCTGCAACCATAGGAATTAATTCGAAGATGATTCCATTTCGAATATCGGCTCTTCAATACCTTACCGACTTCTTCTTTACGTTAAACGTTTATGCTTACGTGTATGTTTGAACGAAATAACCCATGAAGTAGTTATCGCGATTTATAGTAATTGGAATTGGATTAAAACGTAAATTAATGATTGAAAATTATGATTAATGTCAAATCAGGATATTAATCGTCGCGTTGTCTTCGGAATTTATGAAAGGACTGTGTATGCTTATTCGCACGATTACATCAATACATACGTCGCATTTGCATTTGTTTTAGAAGTAGAAGCGCTCAGGATGCTGGAGCTTGTTATACCGCAATACGTTGTACGGGGACAGAACATACGTCTCGAGTGTAGCTTTAGCCTGGACGGCGAGATACTCTACTCGGTTAAGTGGTACAAGGATGGCAACGAATTTTATCGATACGTACCCAGGGATATGCCACCTGTATTGGTTTTTCCACTTCCCGGCGTTACCGTCGACGTAAGGACCATTTAACGATTTTTCTTGCAAACCTATACGATATAGGTATAGGTATAATACACACACACACACACTTTTTTCTCTCATCTATTATTTTTCTTTCTTTCATTTAGATTCATAACTCTACCGAAAGATCGGTCGTTCTTTACTCCGTAAATCTTATGAGTTCTGGAAGATACAGGTGCGAGGTTTCGGCGGAGGCACCTTCCTTTCAGACTGTATCCGATCATTCCGATATGATGGTAGTCGGTAAGTGCGACCGAACGTTTTCAGGATACGTGCGACGTATTATTGTTAATGGATGACTTTTTTCATTCTCAGCCCTACCCGAGAACGGGCCTGTTATCACGGGTAGACCTGGCAGGCGTCGTTATCAAGTGTCGGACGTCGTGCGATTCAACTGCACGTCGGCCAAATCGAAACCAGCCGCTATGCTCAGTTGGTTCATAAATGGCGAGCCCGTAAGTAAATTAAAACATATAAAATCGGCGAGAGAGAGAGAGGGAGGGAGAGAGAGAGAGAGAGAGAGAGAGAGAGAGAGAGAGAGAGAGAGAGAAGGCGCGCGTGCATGTTCCTTTGTCGATCAGGTCGATCCACAATACCTAAGAGGACCTCATATCACGGAGGTAGACCGCGAGGGTCTAGAGACCGCCGTACTTGGTCTGGAGTTTCGTCTGCGTACGAAACACTTCAAGAAGGGTGACATGAAGATCAAATGCCTGGCGACGATAGCGACCGTATATTGGAAATCGAACGAGCTCAGTATAGAGGGTGAAAGGCCCCTAAAGATTCCGGTAATGGAGAGTAGGGAGACAAGAGCGCAAGGCCACACACACGCGGAACACATTTTGGGTATATCCGATAAATATTATTTACGTTTTCATTCTCACCAATAAAACGAGAATCGATCAAACAAAGTACAAATGTCTAATTACATAACCGGATATTTTTATTCGATATTGTTGTTGTTTTTCAGCGAGTGGAACCGTCAAATCCATAGCATCATCTCTGTCGCTGCTAACCCTAGGATTACTTATATTCCGGTAAGGTCAAAGGACTCTCCTCCTCCTTTGTCGCTCCTAATGACGCTAATCGGCGTAAAATAATCTATCAAATTATCTACCTTGTTTATATTTTTTTATCATTCCACTTAGCGAAGCCTAGGTTCGCATAAAGTGTCGCTTTTAATTAATTCAAGTGCATACGCGTGCGCATATTAAAGAATTCCGACGAGCGAGACCGATCGTGGATGATCGATATGCTCGATATTTTTACAATGAACTAGGAGATTTTATTGATAAATGATTTTCAACGGATAGTCTCTCTATCTCTTTGATCCTCTTTTTTTCATTTTTGTATTTTCACTCGATAATACGCGCTTTTACCGGCATCGATCGGGATGCGTGTCGTACGGCGATGATATTATTTTCAATTCCATGTAAAAACTCGTTAATCATTGGTAATTTTGATATTCGGGGAAAAACAAAAAGGAAAATAAATTAGATTGGCGTACGAACGAACGAACGAACGAACGAACGAACGAACGAACGAACGAACGAACGAACGAATTATCACCATACATATCTATGGAACAAATCTATGCAACTACTTATTCGCAATCGATTTCTCATTCAACTTGATCGCGCTTGATCGATATCTCGAACGTCGAAAAGATTAATTAAAATGATTTGAATGAAATGTAAAAGCGATTGTCCGAAATGGACTTTATCGAATGAATCATTTAATCATAGGATTTAATCAAATAGATCAACGAACGATCGATAGAATTTCCAGTTTTAGGGGATACCATCTTTATCGTACATATGCATGTAAATAGATCCTTTTCCCATTTACACGTATAAACATATTAGCGTTGATTATTATATTTACGACTAAATTTCTTACTTACGATTTAACACTTTTCCGTATATCAATCGCCAAGCATGCCATTAAATTGCAATGCGTTGCACGATTATAATCATACTTATGAACTATCATAAAAATTTTATAATCGGCCTTGGGATATAATCGATTTTTAACTCAATCGTTGGGCGGTCAACTTGACAAGTCCATCATCGAGAGTCCAAGCTGGTATTATAATTTCTTACGGTACAAAGTATGAAAATAAAGAAATTCAAAGGCGAAGAAAGAGAAAACACAAAAAGAAAAAAAGAGAAAGGAAAAGAAAGAAAAGGAAGAAGAAAGGAAAACAATCAACAATAACATTTCAAATCGTTGTTGCGCTCTCTACATCGTAGCTTTTAACATTCTAGTCGCTATAAATCATACAATAATAATGATGTCATATTTTAGGATGATTGTAAACTATGTAAATCTAGCGTGTGTACCAAAGATATTGAAATTATTGCGATAAACATTCCTAATTGTTAATTATAGTCGTAGAATGTAATTAAAGATAAATGCGACTAAAATTTCATATACGACGACTTTAACAATATTTTGTACATATGTACATAAATAAAATGTACGTTATACAAGATTTAAAGATAAAATTATGTTAAGCAATGGAAGGAAAAAAAAAAGAAAAGAAGAAAAAACGAAGAAGGTACAGCTATATATATATATATATATATATATATATATACTGCCGATCTTTCGGAGCATTGAGATTTATAAAAAAAGAATTCTGTCCAAATATCTTGTATACCGATCAAATAAAATCATGGAAAAAAAAAAGAAAAATATTCGACTACACAATGTAATTTTATTACGGCGCGATAAATCGGCGCAAGAGAAATCGTCATAGAGTACTAGCATTGGTAATACATCGTTCCGTAAAGAAAATATGCTTTTTAACGTGAACCTTATAGGATTTCAAAGGTGATTTGGCAAAAAATTTAGAAATTTTTTGCTCGCTAGGCATTCCAGGATCCTCTATTTCTTCCCACTCGACGGTCAATGCATTGGTTTCAAGAATTTTTTCTGCGGTAGACCAACTGAAACGGACAATCTGCGGAAAGCCAAATACATCATCGACATTTGCAGCCAACCATTTCTTTGTTACTGGATCATTAGGATATCCACTGCCATATTCGGTGCTTTCGTTAGTACCTTCGAGAAATTTCCACGCGCGTATAGCATGATCTCTACAGACCTTTGCACAAATGCTTGCCGCGCTAACAATGGGATAAGTAGAATCTGCTTTCTTTGCAACAACAATTTCTAATTGAGGAAATATTTCTTCCAATCGAGCCTGATATTTTTCTGGCTTACCGACAGTATCGACGTATACTTTAGTGACATTTACACCAGCTTCGACAGCTTGCTTGATCAATCCAATAGCTGAATCCATAGAAACCTCGTTTAAAGATTTTTTACTACGACGATACATACTATTGGCAATGACATTGGGAGATATCGCTTCCACGGCCCATCCTATTTTATCGTTTTCTTCGCATATTTTATCAAAGATACAGTCCCTTTGATTTTCTGTTAAGCTCTTTGAATCTGCACAACCTAAGTCTATCAATAATTGTTTTTGGGACAGTGGAGCATAAGCTATCCCATATACCATGGGACCCAATACAGGACCTCTTCCTGCTTCGTCTACGCCCAATTGGCATGGTTCGTCGCAACACGCTTTTGGAATCTACGAGATACACTACAAATGTACTTGGTCAAAAGGCGAGGGAGAGAGAGCGCGAGAGAGAGCGAGAGAGAGAGAGAGAGAGAGAGAAAACAGATTTAAAACACCTTACCTCCGAAAAATAAATGTTATTATTACTATGATCGCTCTTTTTAAAATAAGACGTCAATTGCGTTCTACATTTTATTTCCACGTTCGCATCTTCGCTCGATCTGTCCGATTCTTCTTTAACATTCTCATCGATTATATCATCGAGTTGAACGCTCATATCTTCATGTAACCACCGAAATAAATGAAAACACGTTTTTGGAGAAACCGCCAGAAAGTCCTCGTAGAGATTCCTTCGCTTACATTCAGCGGACCCTGGCGGACACGAAAACAACAATATATGCATGCAGTATATATACATATATATATATATATATATTTATATATATGTATGTATGTATAATGTGCGTGAAATAAATATAATATATATTGTTTCATGTCACTCACCGAAAAGTGCCGTTACATAGTATCAGCCAGAAAAGGAAAATATTGAAAAACATCCAAGAAGATTCCGGAAAGAAGAAAGTTAGTATAAAATGAAACAAGTAAATACAAGAGTTGTCACACGTGTCGATTTCTTTAGAACGAGATAAAATATTCGAAGCGAACCGAGTGAAAAGTCTATTGGACAATTTCTAAAGTCATCACTAATCGCTGATTGGCGTGTAGCGTTTCCAAACCCAAATACCAATGAGAGAAAAGAAAGTTTGAAAGGACGTAATGCTGCACGTTACGTGTCAAACTTAATAAGCTCGTATGGAATAAAACTTTTGTTTGCATTGTAATGAGTAAACGGTAATTATTTTGATAATACAAAAAAATATAGGAATAATAATGAGTGATAAAACGTTACTTGATATTGATGATACGATACTGACGAAAAGTTTATTGTTGTCTGTAAGTAATTTATCGTACTCAAAGTATTATATAGGTTAAGCAATGAGGAAAGAGAAAATTGTATCTTCCAACACAATTTTTATCGCAGAAAAATAAAGATGAATATGAAATGGATGACATATTAAAGCAACAGTTTGAAAGAAAACCTACTAAATGCATTATCATTCATCCTTTACCTGGTACGCATTTAAATCTACTATTACATTTCCTCTATAAATGTGTGACATTATAGATACTCATTGTAGAATGTTTTAGGCGTTTGCGTGAAAACAAAAACGGATGCAGGCGAGAAAGTGTTCTTGAATATATGTACGACGACTAAAATACCTCATCCGGAAGATATATCGGAAGAGAAACTAATTTCCCTTTTGGATCAAGAAACACCCAACCATTCTATACCAATGAGTATCGGTGAAGAGAGATTAGAACCCGATAAAAGCTAGGAACAATCATAATTATAACAATTATTAACATCCCAATTAATTGTTATATAGAAAATATTATTCTACAGGTGGTACCTTATGCGTGACCCATGACGTTGCGATAAATAAGGATTATTTCGAAAAGTGTCAAACCAAACAATATTTCTGGTTATTTACAATATCTGTCATAATGGAAGGCGTATCGCATAAATTTGGTAGATGTTTGGATTCGAAAACTTGTATTATTCTTAAAAACCGAAAAGTGAATAATTTTATCTTAGAAAGATGTCACGTAAATTCGCAAAAAAAAATTGATGGGAACGTCGTGTCGTTAACAGGTCATGGGTACGATTCAACCGCAGCGTATCGACGATCGTGAAGCGCGTAAAGTATTGCCGGCGTCTAAAAGACCATTGATTCAAGAAATATCGAGCTCTTCAAAGACCGACTGTAATAGGTCAGCCAGCTCGGCACAACAACTCCAAAGTAATCGTGAGGAATTTATGACACACGATTACGTGATATTGAAAGAACCTTCGAAAGGAATTGCAAGGCGTTTAATCGCTTTATTTCATATACCTAAGGGGGTAAGATATATGACAATTGGCCAATCATCGTGTTAGTACGGGGAATAATATCATATCGTTATGCATCCCTACTCTATCCCCCACACTATTTCTTCTTCTTCTTCTTCTTCTTCTTCTTCTTCTTCTAGGTAGTATCTGGTAAAGATATAAACGTGCTCGCCGACACTGATCACATAATTGTTACAACGAATGAAAACAATTTCGCATATGACGTTTATATACCTTATACGATAAAGTTGGACGAAACGGAGAGCTTCTTTGATAAAGATTTCAGAGTAAGTGAAAATAGATTATACCAAGATATGACTTTGAAAAACAATCTCCTAATAATATCTTTATGTTTTATACAGGTCTTGCGATTAAATATGCCAATTGAAAATAAATAATAGAAATGGAAAATTAATAGAGCAATGTATGGGAAGAGAAGAAAAGAGAGCACTAAGATAATACACGTATGTACTGCAGAGCTGCAATGTATTCACGTTTATTTTCATATTTACTTTATTTTACCGTGTCAATAACGAAGCGATGCGTGCTTTGTTTTACATTTGCATTTTCCTTATAGAAATTGGAATTTTGAACTGGCAAAAAGTACCAAATCAAAAATAAAGATTAACATGATGAAAAGGATTTGCTCTACTTTCGACAAACTATTAAATGCTATTTATGGTATTCCACATACATGCACACCAATCTGTTATTTTCATTCTCAACAGAGTTAGTACATATTGATTACGTACGTACGTACGTTACATAGTGATTGTTACGTGCGCGTACGTTTTATTTGTACAATAAATGCTCATCCATGAGGCTTAAAATTACTTCAAAATATATTAGAGATTTAAATCTAACATATTAAATTATACGTTATTTACAATCATATATCAATCAAATTATATTTAAATTGTAATTCAAAGAAGACTAATCAATCGACTATAATCGCGTATCGAGGAGACTTCAATAATCGAGCTTACGTACGAGAAATAACGTAGGAAATGCATAAAAATATATACGTATAATATTGTACACTTAGATGGAATATTATCTTACAGTTCCGTATAAAACGTCGGCCGTTCTATGCCGATTATAGTAAAGACGTTCGGCAAAAGATATACCGTATTTACACCTATCATGAAACAAGTTAGATATTTATAGACTAGATCGGTGAAAATTTTTTTCTTATTTTCCAAATAGTTCTCACTCTCCATTAGCTCGTTGGGATTGACTTTAAGCACGGCACATATTACGGTATAACAAAGGGATTTACAAATAGCCTTAGTTCCAATGACACTACAGAAACCGAGTATTGTCCTAAGAATCATACATCCTGACATACGATAAGACGGCCAAATAATATCGTACGGTGGTGGAAGTAGCGAAAGTGAAAGGGCGCCTGTCTTGTAATTTAACCACGCCCCCGCATGAACTCCAGCAGTTACAGAAACAACCATAGTCGTATCACCGCTGGAAAAAACATATATTGCATATAAGGCCATTTTACAATGAAAGGAAAGATTTTTATTCCCTTACCGAGTTGGTGTCCATTTGTTGCTACAGGGATAATATACCACAGCGGTGACGCTAATTAATATTAAAAGCGTTAATACCCATAAATTAGTAACAATATAATAATCTAAAGCGTCTACTATAGGTATCAATGGAATCATTAGCATAATAGCTAATACTATTCCTGCCACAATGTCCAATACCGTATGCATTCCCAAATAAAGTCGACTTGTGCAGACGAGCATACACCTATAAAAGTGAAATATATTAAATGAGCCGATTGAGAAGAGAAGAAGAAGAAGAAGAAGAAGAAGAAGAAGAAGAAGAAGAAGAAAATAAATAAATTGGATTTAATCGCATTGTAGTTACCAGAAGAAAGCTATTGTAGAACCAATTGGAAACGAATAGATGTATCTATTCATGGTAAATATCAGTACGCTAAAAGGAATTGAAATTCCGATCATGGCGTGAGTCGACGGCATCCCATATTCTTCTGACCATTTATTTTGCAATCTGACGGCTGGCGGACAAGCTGGTCTTGGCCAACGAATAACATCTTTCAATGCTTGTCCTATAAGATAATAATAAATACGATAGAAATCGAATATTTTGAGAATTGTAAAATATATGTTAATAAAGTTATATATGTATAACTTTACCAATGCTCATAACGATGGCCCATACTAAGACAACTCTCCGGCCAACTGCGCCATCAATATTCCAAAACCAAAAGGGTATGAATGCGGAATAAAAAATTTCATCCCCTAATTCTGTACCAAATAAAAACAAGTAATACCAAAAACGATTCTTAATGATAAATTCTTGAGATTTTAATTTCATTAAGCATCTATTAGAGGAACATTCAAGTTCATTCAAGGAACATTCTTTGCAGAATGACATATCAGCTTTAATATATCCATTTTGCTCCTTATTATCGGATAACCTATGAAAATAAAATTGTCAAATTTATATCGAAAGTAAACGAAAGTTTTTGTCCATTTTCTTACCTAAAACTGTTGGAACGCTTAGTTTTATAATTTATTTGTATCCCGAAAAACTCTTGTACAGTGGCAACGAGATACGGGCTCTTTAAGTACTCGATAATTTCTAGGAACCACATTTTGGCAATTTTACCGTATGATGTTTAGCGATGAGAGCACATTGTGTCGTTCTAAAGTTTACAATATAAAAACACATGTTTAGAAAATTATATCGAGTCAAGTAATAAGCAGCAGTATAACGTAATCAAAATTATTACTGCAGAGTGTAGAATTTTATTTCAATAATTAGCTTCATCGAATCATTTAACCAAACCCAATGCGTAAACGATTGTTTTGTAAAAACAACAAAATAATTACGTAACAATTACAATGACTCTTACATTCGAAGTAGAAAAAATAAGTGTTGAAGAGGTATCAGTTTTTAAAAGAAAAAACGACACGATATATCGACGCTCGCTCGTTAGAATGATGTGAAACAATAGACGTCATGACATGTCTTACAAATACAAGACATTAGCTGTTTTTTGACAGAACATAATTAATTGTAAGTACAAATTGCTTACTTACCGACAGCTGAATGCACGTGCACGCACGCACGACGCACGCACGATGCACGACGCACGCATGCACGCACGACATACGCACGACGCACCTAACGGCATTCTAACCCTACTTGCCCGTTGCATCGACCACTAATTGCAGAGATGATTGTGTAAAACTCTTGAGTTTTGTCTATTCGAGCTTTGATTGAGGAAAGAGAAAGAAGAAAGAAGAAAGAAGAAAGAAGAAAAAGCAACTATCACGGCAGATGATTGAACGGATTGCTATAGTAGTTCCTTTTATCGTATATATCGTATATATCGTATATATATATATATATATATATAGTTCCTTTTATGTATATACATATATTTGTATGCATATATATGTATATAGACACACAACATGTGCATATGCTATCAAGTCCGATTATCGTCTTTCCCATTATCTTATAAATATACACTCGGTGTATAATTCGACGATTATTTAAGCAATTATCTACGGAATGATTGATTGATCGATATTAAAATACGACCCTTATTTTATATACTCCAGCATGGCTCGAAAGAATATATACGAGTAATAACGAAATAATAAATTTAACCGAAATATTTAATTGCTTTTTATTGTATACATATATAATTGATATTAAGGAGTCGTAATTGTACGAATTTGTATGTACGCGTAGCAATTTGTCCCCGCCCTCACATTCGAATGTCTTTTGCTACCTTTTGCTCCTGCACAAATTTGAGCATACGCACGAATAAAACCACGAATTGAGAAGCAATTTTTCTCTTAAAAATCTTTACGTTTCGTATATTCGTGCTCGCTACAACGAATATATATGTATATCTCCTCTTTATCATATAGACGATTAGTAATATGGTGCGTACACAAAATGGTAAATTTTCTTCTTTTGCATACGTACGATGAGAACGTATCTTCGATATAGATCGAAGCCTCTTAAAATACGAAGCGCGTTATATCATTACTTTGTCACTTTTATACATAGAATTAACTTTATTAATAAAATACGCAGACGCATTACGTTTGCATCGCAAAGGCTTCTATTAAGATTCGCTAGAATAAAAGATAGAGAAAGAATTAATTTGATTCAAATTATGAAATTAATTTACAATCGGCAAATCTTTATTTACAACGAAGTAATTCGATATAAGAAATAAAATCTGCGAGACAGCTTAACAATATTTATAATAGGTAAATTTGAAAATTAATATATGCAGATAAATCCAATAATATGGAATTCATTATCTAATAATAGATGGCATGATCTTTCTTCCCCTGGAGGAAATATTTTTGCTTTTTACCAATTGGCACATACCATGTGCCAAATAATATGTAAAAATGCGCAATTCGTAAACTTATAACGTAAAATTACACCGGACGATTCGTTCAACTTTTATATAAATGAAAAATATAATTCTAGATCGTGTATCCTTATTATTAACCCGACAACAATGTATTTAGAATAATCCGCTTAGGGATTATACGTAAGAAGAAAACGTTTTAATGTTTGTCTATCATATACGACGTATCTTAACGTATCTTTAACGGAAGGGGACTTGTTAAAAAATTGTCACATATCACAGAAGGGTTCTGGTTAGCTTTAATTTCCTTTCTCTCTCTCTCTCTCTCTCTCCCTCTCGCGCCGACTTTGAGCAAAATTTGCGAATTTGCGAATTTGCGACTTTATTAAGAATAAAATACTTGTCCGATGATGGCAATGTTTCTTACGGCCGATGCTACATCTGGAATATCCGGATTAGGATGTACATGCAACGAAGACGTACCGACTACGGCCGCAGCTGCGGCGGCGGCGGCGGCAGCATGCGCGTTCATCCTTTGAACGCTATCCATGTAAGTTTTATTCGCTTGAGAACCTAAATTATTACCGATGTTATTCAAATTAGATTGCGGCAGCGTTGAAATAATAGGAGCTATGACCGGCGTGCTCGCGCAAACATTTCCTTGAGATTGGCCATAATTGTGAGTATTTTGAGTAGCCGGAGGAGCAGCCTGATGATAATTGTTGTACTGAGCTTTACATTTCTTTTCGTGAACGAATAAGCTACCGGAATGGCTATAAGCGGTGCCACATATTTTGCACGCGTATGGTTTTTCCCCGGTATGGGTGAATCTATGTTCCTTCAAATATTTCAATCTTCTGAAAGATTTGCCGCAAGTTTTGCAATGATAATTAGCTTCGCCTGTGTGCGTAGTGATGTGCGCCTTAAGGGTGCAAGACTTGGCAAAAGCAGCGCTACAAAAGTGACAGACGAATGGCCTATCGCCGGTGTGCGTTCTCTCGTGATTAATACAATTGGAATTTGACGTAAATCCTCGTCCGCAATATTTACAAACATGAGGTTTATATCCGGTATGAGTTCTCATGTGAAACATAAGGCCTGTATTTTGTCTGAAAGTTTTGCTACAAATGTGACATAAAAATCGTTTAAAATTCGAATCCTGTTGTTCTTTCGTACGTTCGTGTATTCGCATATGCCTTTGCAACTTGATTTCTTTTTCAAAACTTTTATTACATTCGATGCACGTAAAAATGTTCACTTTCTCATTATTCTTTCGTGTTCCTTTAAACTTTATACCACAGGTACATTCCTTACCGCAACTCGAACAATTTTCCTCGTGCACGTCGTGAGTATTCGTCTGATGTTTCAACAACGATTTCTTCGTGTCGTAAGATTTACCGCATATATCACAAGGGAAGCCCTTCCCTTCGTTATCAGAATCTAATTCTTCTCTGATCCAACTGTTTATTAATTTAATGGCCGACCTGTCGTCCGGTGGCTTTTGAGGTATAGAACAATCTTTATCCTCGTCGTGACCATATCTATCTCTATGGCTCTTAAGTCTGTCCTGCCGAAAGAATTTCATGTTACAAACGTTGCAAACAAATCTCTTTTCGTCGTGTATCAAGAGATGACGCTGAAGAGATCTTTCCGCGTTGTAACATTTGTTGCAATGTTTGCAACGATAAATTCCTACGCTTTCGAAGGAATCAGATTTGTTATCGCTATTGGAATCAGAACCGGACGTATAAAAATTATCAATTTTTTCCTCCGTATCCAACACTCGTCTAGTTGAATTTTTCAACGTGTCGTCCTCGCCATCGACGTCGAGTGACCTTTGATCCTGAACAATATTTTTCTTGTCTTGTACGGACGGTGATCGGTCGTTAATCATTAAAGATACCACGTTGTTTTCTAATTTTCTTCTATCCCTAATTTCTTTCAATATAGAAAATACTTCCTTAGGATTGACCCTTTTGTGAACGTTCAAATGCCGTACCATGGTGTCGGTTTTTCTAAAACTTTTATTACATATTTTGCACGGTACCAAATTTGACTTATCGTTCGACCTGTGAAGTTTACCGTGCTGTAGTAATTTGTCGACATGAAAGAATTGTTTCTCGCACTTTTCGCATTTGAATTTCTTTTCATTATGGGTCAATATATGCCTCTCTAAAGATTTCTTACTGGAATAACGTCTGTTACATTGAGGACAATCGAGGTTTAATTCGGAATCGATAACTCTGACTGCCTTATTGGATGCGCTTTCGTTATTTAAAGACCCATCTTTCTCACCAGCATCGTGAGACTTCGTATTACCGTTCTTTTTTATATACTGCCTTTGTCTTTCTTTGTGATTTCTTAAATTTTCCATCGAGGTAACTCTTTTGAACATTGCCAATCTTCTCGTACGATAGGCTTCTCTTTTGACAACCGACAACTCCTGTATCGAACGGTCAAATTTATTATCCGTATCTGGCAATATCTCATTCTCGGTCTTAACATTGTCGTTCGATACTCTAACGGTAGTACCTTTTAGATCCAGAAGAGAAGAACCCTCGTCATAACTACTACCAACAACAACGTTCTCGCACAAAGGAGAACGATCATCGTTCCCTTCTTTCGTTGAAATCGCAAAATATTCATCGGTTTGACAATATTGATCCTAGAGAAGAAATAGTATTGGATTCAGTGACTGAACTGATTTGAAACTAACAACGTTCGATCGTTCCGTTCAAATTATGAATACGTACTTTTACAGAGTTATGTCTCGAAGCGTCAACCGTCTTCCTCGCTTTCCCATACAATTCTCTCAACTTTATATCCGTTCTTTGACACTGTTCCCTGAGTTCGTGGGCCGCGTTGACCTTCAAAATACATTTTACACAGATACGCTCCGGTAAACCGTCGTTCTCCAAAACCTGAAAGCATCCTTGAAGATCATTAGATACCCATATATAGATAGACAGATAGCGCGTTAATTAATAAGGTATGCTTTTAGCCATATATATATATATATATGTGTGTGTGTGTGTATATATATATATATATATATATATATATATATATATATATAATAGGTATTAACGAACGAATAGAGGACTGACCTCGATGCCTCCGCACAACCATAACTTTCCCGACAAGTCGTGCTTGTCTCTTGTATTATACTTTTCGTTCGTCGAAAAGATACGTTGATTGTCGTTGCTCGACGAGAGACAAATGCGACATAAATAGTTATCTCGGTTTGTCATTATTCTATGTTCTATTCGCCGATTGTGTTTATCTTTCCACCACTGCCCGCCTCGGTCCAGGCTATTTGAAACTTTCGGAAAATCCCTCGCGGAGGGTGAAACACGTTTTCACGAAAGAGCCAAACTTTGACGTGATGGAGTAGATATACGCGCCATCATACGTGTATGCCCCAATTTTTGTTTTTCTTTTCCTTTTTTTCTCCTTTCGTTTTTTTTCCTTTCTTTCTTCTCTCGCGTGAACATATGGGCGGCAGCCTATCGTAAAAAAGCCTACGATAATATATTATTTAGAGTCTGACAGGCCAATGAGAAGGACACACATAATAAATGCCCGTGAAAAAGAAATAGTGCACGTTTACAAAAGACGAAAAATTGTAAACGAGCCGGAAGGAAGTTTGCTTGTGATCCAATCGAAACTTGAGCTCCCTTGATTTGTTAGGAAAGCCTTTCTAGGCCGAAGAAGGCCTTGCTGAAAGATAATGATTCAGAAAAAAAAAAAAAAAACCAAAGACTCGAATGCGTAATCGTAGAAGCTCGTGAAAATATCGTGAAAATTTCGAAAGAATTCCGGGTACTTTCCATTGACGTTATCGTACTACGAGAAGGAGAAGACTTAGTACGCGTGCGCGAGCTCGAAAACTCTTAGCGGAAGGAGGAGAGACGTGACGAGTCGGTTGAGTTGAGCGCCAGAGCTCCGCGTGGTCAGTTGCTTGATTGGTTGGTCAGTTTGTCGGTAAATTATTTAAGAGGATCTACGACTTCAGGATAGAAAGGACGATGGCACTGTTTCGTTTTAGTTCCAAACGATGTCTCGAATTACAGGTAAGCGACGAATTATTGTCCATCGTTCATTTTTCCATCGTATTATTATATAAAGACCAGGAGAATGTGAAAGATTTGAATAAATCTTTAAAGAAACGACGACACGTTTTCGATTTCGGTGCGAAATTCGAACGATCTGTGGCAGGTGTCGAGGGAGATTCGCATTCCCAACCTTTCATTTTGTTTCGCGAGACCTACTTCGATTTGTAATTTTCACGGATCTTTGTGGTTTCACGAAAAAAGGAAGAGGTCGATCGATTTCCGTTTCCCTTTTGTCTCTCGCTCTCTTTCTCTGCGATTATCTCGATATTTTCACGACACGGTAGAAAGAGGCTAAAGAGACTCGGATGTTCGAGGAGGGCGTTCGTTCGGTCGTTCGTTCGTTCGTTCGTTCGTTCGTTCGCTCGCTCGCTCGTTCGTTCGTTCGTTCGTTCGTTCGTTCGTTCGTTCGTTCGTTCGTTCGTTCGTTCGTTCGTTCGTTCGTTCGTTCGTTCGTTCGTTCGTTTTATCGACCGACGTTACCTACCATTATCGAGCATCTCCAACGACGAATATACGATAATTTTCAATTTCTTTTTTACTATTCACCCTATTCTGCGTCCACAAAGAAATGAAAATCTTACACTCGATATCTCTGCTCTCCCTCCCTTCCTCCCTGTGCCTGTCCCTGTATTTCCATCTCTCTATCTCCCTTTGACGAAGAGCGTGAGAAAAGAAGAGAGCGTACCTATTGGAACGAGCTACTGGAAAGAGGGTGCCCCCCGTTATTCGACGCGCAAACTGCGGCTGTGCTCCGGTGTAAGACGACGACGACGACGACGACGACGACGACGACGACGACGAATCGAATTTTTTCTTTTGCGACAAACGCAATATATATCCAGATTTATCTGATTTCCTAACATTTCTATATTTTAGGTATTCCATCAGTAATACGTCTAGCTTACCGACCAAGAGTTCGATCAATGTCATCTCTGGTTATGTAATAAAATTATCGTTGCCGACCGATCGGCAATATCTATCTCCGGTCGTGGACAGATATTCTTTCTCCATTTAAAGAGAGACAGACAGACAGACAGGCAGGCTTGAGAATTTAAAAAGTCCTGCATTCTCTATGAAAAAGTATCTATCAAGCACATAGGAAGGAATTTCTTGTTCGCGCCAAATTTTACGTTCGTTGTATTGGCCGTTCATACTGTTACGAGCAAACGTTCGAACCAATTTTATAATTATCACCGAGGAATGAAAAATTGAACTCGTTATCTAATCGATAGAATCGATTAGAGTTTCTTTCAGCTCTCATATGCGACAAGGTGGAAGTATGTGGGACATGATGACTTCTTGGTACGTCTAAAAATACGAGACGCGTGTATTTCTTTTCACGAAATATGTATCTTCTCTTACGTGATCCACCTCGGAATGGAATCTTTTGTTCCTCGTTAGATTCGTTCTTGTTTGAATCATTCATTCGCGAGCTTTCTTAAAGTTCTTTTCATCTATTCTTTTTTCTTCAAATTTATTCCAAATCTGTCGATGGAAGGGCCAAGAGAAAAGTTTACCCAGAGAGGTTGAGAACAGAGAGAGAGAGAGAGAGAGAGAGAGAGAATTCATTGAAGAATATAAGTAGTATGATAGAGAATGGCGATTTTGCAAGACGTCAGCTAAGTTTAGCAACATTTCGAGGTCAAAAATCTGACCCATTTTCTTGATCCGCTTTGGTCATGACCCGTCCCTAGAAATCCTTGATAGCACCTGCCTAGCACATACCGCCCTCGAGCATGATCCGATCAGATAGGATCATAAATATCTATCTATTTCGATCTACGTAATATCTTTCATTGTTTTCTTCTCTTCTCTTTCGAATTGAAAAGTAACTGCTTATCACATTCTACCGTTTCTACCTAGATATATTTACTTATATTATGTTATAATGTCTTCCTTCTGCATTAGCCAAGCAAGAAGAATTAACAAAGAAATAATTAGAGAAAGGACATAGGCGTGTCGGTCGAGCGAAACTATCTTTTCTCTCCTTTTATTTAATTCAAGTAATCTGGCAAGATAACATTCTTTTGCCCTTATTTATAAACGGCTCGATCGTTACCTAACATCGACACATACAGGCATATGGCCTCCGAATCGCATAACGAATTATTTCAGGGTTGCGCATCTTTCTTTTCTACTCGAAAGTGTACTTTATTTTTAGTAACGCCTCGTAAATAGTTTCCTTTTCGTCAAGTGTCTTCCAAGGAAGATGTATAGCTTTTGCCTTTAGATAAGATTATTTCTTCTGTAGATGCATACGTACGTACGTACACACAGTATGTATATATATATATATATATATATATATATATATAAATGTGTGTGTGTGTATATATATACAGACACACGCTTAAGTTTACGTTACGTGTAAACAGTTTGAATTTATTTTGGTCCATGTCCTTGCGCGTAGGTCCGATCAGCGATCTGAAATTTAATCGCGCGTTTGGATCTTTAACTCTCCTCCACGCATTGATACGCGTTAAGCATATATTTCAGAACTAATAAAGAGCTCTTGATACCGGACCGCCAACACTCTCCGTCGTTCGTTTTAACGCCATTCGACGATTACATGACTCGAAATCAATTAGATAATTGCGATTCGCGGGTGTGCACCAACTGGCAATGCCCTTCACAACCCGCTCTTTATTACGTAATATACGATACCAAGTGTTATCAAGCGCGTCGAGTGGTTTATCTTACTAATAATTAATCAACGCACATACACGCGCGCACATAATACACACAACTGATCACACATGCCGTCAATGCGTGATAATTTGATAAAAATACGTCCGTACTTGAGCGTGCGTTCGGAAACGATTTTCACAATTCGAGGATTTAATGAAATAGGTAGACATCTATATATTCTTATTTCGTACCTATGATTCTCGATTGGTTAACATTTTGTTTTCCTCCTCCTACCGACAAGCCTGTGCCATTGTCCCGATCATTGTTTCCCTTTCTTCCTACAAATAAGAGTAATATTTCATTAGATTTATCCGGGTATATCTTATGGATTTACATTCCAAGACTGTTAGACGATAGAAAGGAAAAAATGAATAAAACGGACGGTGAAAGTTGGTAAGCGTCTATGTTCGTACCAACGGGTGATATCCAATGATAATCTTTGTTTATTTCTCGTCGAAGTACTATGGTACGCATATGGAAGAAACATTTCCCTTTGCGTTGTAAGAAATAAGTGATCTTAATCATAAAAAAAAAAAAAAAAAAAAAAAAGAAAGAAAAAAAGGTTTATAGTAATTAATGACACGTTCATAATATATTCTATTCCAATTGGAGATATATCGTTTTTGAGTGAAAATACAAAAAATGAAAAAGCATTTTTGCATTGCATTAGCAATAAATAAATAGGACGTAACCCAATATTTATTTTTAATTTTAGAAACATCGTTCGTTCGGCCCGAGCACTTTTTTCGCATATTATACGATATTATATTTACGTATACCAAATGACAAACTTATTCAATTAATCGAAATTCATTCTAAGAGGAAAAATAGTAAGGAATAATCGTTCCTTGCTCGTCGATCATCGAGAGTAGTTGATAATGTGAGATACGAGAGATGAATGATACGCGAGGATGAATTGATATAACTGTAGATAGTTGAAATTTTTTAATTCGTGCGCAAAGTTTTTTATTAATAGCATTGCAAAAGTTTTATTAAGGAAGAGGTGCCAGAAGATAAAAGTTCGTCGTTGTCTCATGGATTATCGTGATCACGATACGACGAGACATTTACAATCGACGATTGATACATTTTTCATAGTTATTGTTACCTTACCAATTGTGTCATTGTTGTTGTATCATAATCAATTTTAAAGACGTAGTCGGATCCAAGAAATTCTTCGATCGTTTTACATGCCTCGGTGATAATCGATAATGACAATGGCTGATTCGATTTACACGCTAACCACCCGATAGATCGGTTAACCGCAACGAGAATATGCTGTCATATACCTATTATTTTTTATTGTTTTGAAAATGAAACAATACCTTTTCCATAAACGATCATGAAGTATACGCGTGTTAAATTATCGTTACGTTAATGTATTTGCGTGACCAATACTCGTTGGAACATTAAATTATATAATATAATAAGTAATACCTACAATTTTATCTTTAGGTTTATACTGGCCAAGTTCCAAACTCATCGTTTCTCTCAGAGAAATAGTTACAACGGATAGAATTTAACGAAAGAACCAAAGACGATGCGCTCTAATCTTATAGTTATTTGATCGATAAAATTATGTAAAAATATTATTTTGAGATAAAAGTTACATCGAACTAACGATGTCGTTAATTCGTACCTCGATCGATTGCAGATTCCAAATATATAATTATTTGGATGTATTATAAGTAGGTAGAGATTATATGTAGATATTCTTACGTAAAAATAATTGCCCATTTATGGAGCGTGCGCTATCGAGGAAAAAGATAAAAGAGCTGTGGCTGAAACGAGGAGCGATCTTTGGACAGAGACTTTTGAGAATTTAAAGGGGTAGATTGCCTGACATCTTTCTTATCCACAAATAATGACCAAGTAAATTTAGCCTGTATTATTAGGTTGAGTTATTAATGGTCAAGTTCGAATTTCGCGAAAAAAATGTAACGAACGAACGACCGAACGAACGAAGAAACGACCATCAACGTCACTCGAGTATCACGCGAGTGAATAAAAATAGAGCCAATCGCGTTACTCGATAGCAAGCGACGATACTTTTACTTCAACGATCGTCGGTGTTACCACCGCGAGGCTAAGCATGATAATGACCTCTAATGCGAGACCTCGTGACCTCAAGACGAGTCCCCACTTTATCTCATACCAAACGATCCAATTCGTGTACGCGATATCAGCGATGACCACGCACGCGTTGTATCAGAAAATTTCACACAAAAAATCGCCCAAAGTACTTAAATGAAATTATTTCGTTTTCGATAAAAAAATGCCAAAAAAAAAACAAAAACAAAAAAAAAGTCAAATTTCATAGACACGAATATATTTAACGCTTTAACGATAGCCATTTGGAAATCCTTTAGCTTTAGAACGCGTTAATTGAAATGTCATATTTTGAAATCGTTACGTTGGCTCTGTCATTGCATCGAGCTTCGATAATTCATATCTATGATTATATGTACGCTCGATAAGCGACGTTTATATAATATTATAAATTCATTAATCCGAAAGGAAAAGAGAAGAACTGTGTACGGACGTAATATGAGACACGCGATAAGAGAAAATCGGAGCGATTTAAGAAATCGATCGATAAACTTCTCATCGTTTGATATTTCTCTCGTTCATTATTCAATACTCTCGTGAGAGCACATTAATCTTCAAGTAGAAATTCTGACGTAGCAGCGCGGAAGTAGGATCGTTCGCGTGTGAATCGTTATCCGCTTTTAACGTATTGGAATTAACATTGTGTACGTGTGCGTCGCGTTTATGCCCCCACCTCTTTTACGTAATTCGTATGTTCCGCCGTGTCAGTGGTTCAGGATTTATAGACATATTTCCAATCTTTGCGCATTTCTCAAGATTCACTTTTATAACAGATATGTACTGGTGTTCGTAACGAAAATATCAATGTGATAGATATTCTTGTCTGGTTTCAGAAATTGACAAGCACGGTTACGAGCTCTGTGGTCGTTCGATCGTTAGCCGATGCTTCGACCGACCTTAAGAAAGTCTTATCCGAGAAGATACCCAAGGAGCAAGAACGCATAAAAGCCTTTCGCAAGAATCATGGCTCTACCAAAGTTGGAGAAGTCACCGTTGATATGGTAATTACGATAAGCTAATGCGATGAAAATAAAAAAGGAAACAAACCTACCGATAATATGTATTTATGACCGATTGATTCATGTGATTTAACTCGATACGTAGATGTACGGTGGGATGCGCGGTATAAAAGGATTAGTCTGGGAGCCCTCCGTACTCGATCCAGAAGAAGGTATTAGATTTCGTGGTAAGTCGATCCCGGAATGCCAAAAGGTCCTTCCGAAGGCTTCAGGAGGCGCTGAACCACTACCGGAAGGTCTTTTCTGGCTTCTTATAACCGGAGACGTTCCAACCGACGCCCAAGTCAAAGCGATCTCGCAGGAATGGGCAGCTAGGAGTGCGTTGCCGAAGCACGTAGTCACGGCCTTGAACAGTTTTCCAAAGAGTCTGCATCCTATGACGCAATTCTCAGCGGCCATCACTATATTGAACAGCGAGAGTGAATTCGTGAAAGCGTACAACAAGGGAGTCCATAAGAGCAAGTATTGGGAAACGATTTACGAGGATTCTATGAATGTAATCGCCAAATTGCCTGTCATTGCCGCTACGATATATCGAAACATTTATAAAGACGGCAAAGGTTTGGGTTCCGTCGATACGGGCAAAGATTGGTCTTGGAATTTCGCAAACATGCTCGGTTACGACAATCCTCAGTTCATAGAACTCATGAGACTCTACCTAACCATCCATTCCGATCACGAGGGTGGTAACGTTTCGGCGCATACTACTCACTTGGTAGGCTCGGCATTGTCCGACCCTTATCTGTCCTTTGCCGCCGGCATGAACGGTTTGGCCGGGCCCCTTCACGGTTTGGCAAACCAAGAGGTCTTGGTATGGTTGGAAAAATTACGTTCCCAAGTAGGAGATAGTCCTAGCGACGAGAAGCTCAAAGATTTCATTTGGAATACATTGAAGAGTGGCCAAGTGGTGCCTGGTTACGGGCACGCTGTACTCAGGAAGACCGATCCCAGATATACGTGTCAGAGGGAATTTGCGTTGAAACACTTGCCCGACGATTCCCTCTTCAAGGTAATTTTCATTTATAAACTTTCATCTCTTATTACTCGCGGGTACCAACTCGTTTACTATAATACTATATAATCAATTTTAGCTAGTCGCTCAAGTCTACAAGATCGTACCTCCTATTCTTCTTGAAACTGGAAAAGTGAAGAATCCATGGCCAAACGTAGACGCCCATTCGGGAGTACTTTTGCAATACTACGGTATGAAGGAAATGAACTATTACACCGTTCTCTTTGGAGTATCGCGCGCTTTGGGCGTCCTAGCCTCCTTGGTTTGGGATCGTGCTCTTGGTTTACCCATCGAAAGGCCCAAATCTTTGAGCACCGATCTACTAATGAAGGCTGTTAAGGCATAAAATGGAGATCCGTGTTTGCGCGCAACGTTTCAGTATCATTAAAGACACCTTAAGATCAAATCTGCCGACACCGACCGTCACATCGGTGTCTATATACGAGCCTTGGCGATGAAAATCGACCGATTCGACGAACGAACGAGCGAGCGAGTGAGTGAGTGAGCGAGCGAGCGAGAGAGAGAGAGAGAGAGAGAGAGAGAGAGAGAGAGAGAGAGAGAGAGAGAGAAAAAGCTCTACGAGTCAGTTTTAACTTCATTTTGATACGACCCCGAGGGAATCATTTTTAATTAAGCCGCTTAACGGATGGACCTAACGGATGTATTAAAAGCTACGAAAGAGAACGAATCATCTCACGCGATGTCGATTTTACAAAAGGACACTAGCCGCATTTTCTTAGACTCAAGTGCGGCTTGCGTCTTTCCGCTTTTCGAGCATCGTGAAATAAAAAAAAAAATACGTATAATTGGAAATGAACGTACGTAATAACTGCCGAATGAAGAAAAAATATGAAAAACGGCAGTTTCTTAGGTAATAGATATATGTAAATAGTTGCCGCTTGATATTCACATGATAATAACATGGAATAAAACCAGATACTAATTATAGTATCTATACAGAGATAAAAGGCGGTAAATCCAATATCGAAAGATAACTGAGCGTTTCAATTAAAGAAATAATCAACGCAATATTAGATACAGCATAGTAGCGCATAGCGCTTATTGTTAAAAGAACATGATCGTCATCGTCGTTGTCATCGTCCGATAATTCAATGAACACTGCCCAAAATTACGCGCGTTTTTATTTTTTAGAATCTTATAATACACCTCTTGATTGATATAAATATTAAATTCCTTGTCTCTCATTTTTCAAAGGACAAAAACAATATTAGTTGGTATATTAGTTAGCGGTAATATGTATGTACAAGATGCTACATATCGTTACAATGTCTTACAATTAGAGATGCACATATTATTTCACTTGCTCAGGAAGTTCAAGTATGTCGCGATATTTTCACTACCTAATAGTCTCCGTAACAGAAAACACTTACAAGGCTAACTATATACTTAATTAAATATCGTTCAAAGTGCTTATTATGGCACAGGTTGTTGGTTTTAGATTTTCTCAAACATACTAATAAAATTTAATCGGTCTTATACCGAGCCAGTACGAGATATGCGTAAATTAAGAAGGATGACCAGTGGTAGATCCACTGTTATGAGGATGTATGAGTGTGTGCGATTCTTTATTTATAATAAACATGAAAATAAATAGATATTTAAAAATAATATGCGATATACGCAATCATTTCTTCTTAATACCTAATCTGATAAATGCACAAGTACAAGGACGTCAACTCTTAAACAACCGTCGATTCTTAATACGATATTACATCAAACTTTCGTTTCATATATGATAGATATTTTAAGGGGAAATTAAGAAAATCCTAATGTTTCTTTGCATTTTCCTTTAAAATACATTTTATTCGCTATTTACTATTTATTAATAACGTCACGGCGCAGAACGTAACTATCCAAGATAATGGAATTACCAATAAATGCAACTTTATTGCAGCTCTCCTCATTATCTATAATTTATGTAGTTTAATGCAGAGATTTTATTATAAATTTAAACCACGCGTACTTTTCCCGTACGGGTTCTGTACGGATCCTTCATTTTCATGTCAATATTTTTCAAAAGTGATACTATCGGAACAAAAAGAGATCATCACTTGTACGTAGTATCAAAATTTTAAAAGAGGAAGACGGATAGAAGAGATCTAACGATTTCCTGTGATTTCGAACAATGTCGCAGGAAACAGGTTCGCCTGCTTTCTTTATTAAATTGAACATGATATCTCTCTCTCTCTCTCTCTCTCTCTGTATGTACATATATGCATATACATATGTGTATATATATATATATACATATACATATATACATATATATATACACATGTAACGCACAGACGCTTTATAACGCGCTGACTTTCTGTTTTTTTTTTCTTTTTTTTTTTTTTTTTTTTTTTTTTAACTAATTCAAATAAGAAAGTAACTCAAGGTGATAAAAATCTTCGATTCGATAATACTACTTTTAGCCACGTTTCTATCAACAATTATATCATTGAAACATTTTGACAAAATTTTGATTAAAGAGAAAATAACGTTTGTATGTTCATATATGATGTGCAGAAAAGTGCGATTATTATAGGTATGCGCGATAGTTCGTTATTTTCAAGTGTCATTTCTCAATATGAGAAAATTATTTTATACGTAAGAATCTCACTCTTGACTTTAGACGGCATTTATCTTATACAATGATGTTTAACATTTTCTCAATTAAATTTAATCAACGTCCATTATATTGATACTCAATATTGTTAACATCTTGACTGAATATTGTCTAAGTAACGCAAACCTGACGCAATAATATTTCTAGCTGCATACAAATTATTATCAAAGATCTGTTGATTGAACATTAAAACAATATATTTTTAATTAATTAATAAATAAAACTTTTTGTTCCATAATATATAATTACACAGAAATGAATTTGTATCGTTTTGTATTAAGTGTATTAATTTAATTAAGATGATTTGTAACGCACAAGTCAAATTAGATTTTTCCAGCAAACACCCGTCCCTCAGTTATCTATCCTTGTTATGAAGTCTTATAGTTGTTTGCACAGTTCAGACGGTACGAAATCTGCTTAAAATTTGATACAGAAATGTTAAAAATATGTTACAGATTGGAGCTATACTTGCTGACCTTACTTTTTTCTTCTTCTTCTTCTTCTTCTTTTCTGTAGTTTTTTCCTTTTTTTTTCTTTTTTCTTTATTTATTTTTTTTTGTTTTTTCTTTCTTTTTTTTTTCTTTTTTTTTTTTTTTACAGTCGCTTATCGTTAATAAAGTGTATAAAAACTATGTACAAAGATGTACCTTTTACTTTTGCATAAGAAGCCAAACGATGATATTCTCTTTGTATGTAAACAAGTACTTCCTGCGGCTTCGGCATTTGTTATAAGCACAAGTGAACGGGTCGGTGAAAATTCTATTTTCAAGAATTTATTTTAGATTCTTCCAATTGCGCTTCTTTTTCTTATAATAACCGATAGTTATTATTGGATAGTACTTGCGGGAATTAAATGATATATGAAATATGTGCGAACGAGGAATAAGACTTGGCAGTTATCACTCTTGAAAATGCATGTTACTTAAACGTAAAACAACACATATTTTAACATATCTGTAATATTGTAAAATTAATCAAGCATTATACATCATGGGAAACCTCCTATTTTATATTTTACAATCTTCTTTAGCTTCGCTCTTTTTTTTTCTTCTTTTTTTTTCTTTTATGCCTATCGATAATTCATCTTTTCTCCACAATTATTTTCACGTTTTTATATCAGGAAACGCGAGCGTGTATTATTATTTTATTGAAAATAAATAAATTTTTTGCCCGTCCACTCTGAAATACATTAAACATTTGCTACGGTAATTGTCTCGGTATATGCAGTTATACTTTGATCATCGTACTATAAATTAATGTATCATTTTAAAACGTCATAAAATTATTTTTTCCAATATGTGTACGACCATCAAAGTAGCAACGATACTAACTCGCGCTAATCACATATTATACAGTTTAGTTATTCGTCGAATTTATGACAAATTCTCATAATGTACGTCATGTCTTCTTGAGACGTCCAACGATCCATTCCAGTCCTTGATAGAGTCTACAATGTCAATTATTTTATCAATATTATACGATCGTATTCGTACTTGCCGCATCTAACAAGAATTCTTCTCTACCGAATAGTATATGTATATACATGTGTGTGTGTGTGTGTGTGTGTGTGTGTGTGTGTGTGTGTGTGTGTGTGTGTAGAGAGAGAGAGAGAGAGAGAGAGAGAGAGAGAGAGAGAGAGAGAGAGAGAGAGCGAGCATGACATAATAATGCAAAGCATAAGAGAATGAAGAAAGAAAGAAATATTTACCCTTCTCCCGTGAGAGCACAACAGCTTTGTATGTGCCACTGATGTTTTTTGATCGATGTTAAATCTAGTTGCCTTGAAATTTCAGCGGCTGTCATACTACCCTTCAAGTCCTGCTTATTAGCATAAACTAAAACATTAGCTTTGCTAAGTTCCTCGTGATTTAACATAGAATACAATTCTTCTCTTATCACACCGAGTCTCTCTCTATCTGTGCTGTCTATAACCATAATTATGAATTCTGTATTCGTGTAATAAGTAGACCATGCGGCCCTTAAGCTCTGCTGTCCCCCTAAATCCCACATTATGAAATGAATATTCTTCCATACTACTTCTTCTACATTTGAACCAATAGTCGGGGACGTATGAACAACCTCGTTCATTAGAAATTGATATAATATGGTTGTTTTACCGGCGTTGTCCAATCCTACCATAACTATTTTATGTTCTGAAAAATGATTTAAGTTTCGATAAAATTTATATATATATACAAGTAGTAATGTAGTAGTAAATGTAAATTTGTAACATATGAATAAGTAACATCGCGTAAAACGTAGAAACATGTAATAAGACAATTTAGCAAGTAATTAATATACAAGTAGAAGAGGCCACAAAATATGGCCATGACCAAGCATTTCTTACTCTTGTATAATCGACTTGTATCTAATTTTACAATTGTAAATAATAAAAAAAGTTACAAGTAAAAAATAATGGATATATATTAAAATCAAGACGGTAAAAATCTAATAAATTTGTGAAAATGTCACTTTCACAAGAAGAAAGAAGCAAGGCATAAATATTGGATAACTCAAAAAAGATCGCTTTTACCTTCGTTACCAAAGAGACTCCACAACTTTGCAAATAGCAATCCCATATTGAGCCCACAGTTCCAAAATAATTCGAAAAACACCGCGCTCGGTAACTCTCACTCTCTCTCTCTCTCTCTCTCTCTCTCCCTCTCTATCTCTTCCTCGTATACAGAGTACAGCCTTGATTACGATAAAGAGAATGTATTTCGACTTAGAAATAGGACATCCATCTCATTGTTACAGGGTTATGTCCAGCTTTCCATCACTTCACTCTTTCTCATTTGCACGATATTTCGCAGCCTCATGTCAACGACCGGTGTAACGTAGAAGTGAGAAATGTACGATGGTTTTCCAACTGTTGCAAGTACGATTAGATAAACTGTTAAATGGAGTAATTTTAGGCGAACATTCCCTAATCTAATTAAGACGATCGCGACATGTTGCATATGCGATTAAAATGCCCCTACATACTGATTGGCCCAATCCGAGTTTGCAGGTATGACGATATGACGTCATACGAAATATTACCATGCGCCGATTGGAGGAGAACTACTAGAAAGCGTTGAGCGCGCGTAAAACGATATTTCCCTGCCAATCAAACGTCCATATATATATATATATATATATATATATACACATTACAATCCCTAAATGATGATTTACTCTTCATAGTTGCAACTATTCTTGACTAGTAAATACTAGAAATGAAACTATAATGTTGCATATGAAGTGTATGGATCGTTCAACGAATATTTCCCAATATTATAGCATCGTTACAAAATATTTATGAATGTTAAAGCGTTAACGAAAAACAACATGTACGATTACGTGCGATAAGTAATACTAATCAAGTATTTCGATGAAAATAGAGTTAAAAGCAAATGAAGGATTATGAACATATCGCCATCTAAAGGCGAACGTTCTAACTAAACTACGCACATCTAGCTGCACATATATATAAAAATTCCATTTTTATATATATTACGGCGCCAACTAGTGTGTCGACATTAAAGGTACTATTAGCGCGCTTTCTTTAAAAAAATCTCATCGTTACTATGCGTTTTTGCTTAAGAAAACGTGATTTTTGCAACGATATGCAATTTTTTTTAAACGATATGCAATTTGATTTCTCATACGTGCGCGTGCACGCGCACACACACAAAGAGAGATAGATAGATACGAACATATTTATCACATTGACGTATTTCTCAAGTTATTAATCTTCCTTGATGACGCATGTTCTTGAGCGAATGTAAAATTACACGGATAAAATATGCGTAATTGTTTAATATCAATGAGTATAACAGACATATTGCATATATGCACGTAACATCGGATTCCTGTATAATGATTATGCTTAATCGGCAGAAATGGAAGTAATACATGTTATATAAAAAATAGAATACTTTCTTTTCCTTTCAAATCTACGTATATGATATTGATATAAAAAATGTGATGAATTCATTTTCAATTCGGTAAAAAAGTGTAGTAGTAGAAAATGATCGTATATGTACGTGTGTGTGTGTGTGTGTGTGTGTGTGTGTGTGGTGTGTGTGTATACCCATGCATACACACCGTCGCATGCATACGTGATATACCACAAAGGAAGAATTTTGGAGGCTTGCTTGCGTAATATATTGTGAAATTCGATTTAAGCGTATTAGTGGTAGTAGCGGTAGTATCCCAGCTGGCATGCCGAGGATATGTGCGTTATGATTGGCTTATTGATGTCTGATGACTCTGCGAATACATGATTATTATGTGTTATGTTAGTTGGACATTCGTCAGACATAGGTATATATGGCCACTTGTTGCTGCTTATTATCCTTTCGAAGAATATTTTCGTTAATTAATTTTGGAATTTGAAAAATGACGCAACCGTAAGTAATCTTTATTAATTTGATATTTAACATATATATTAAAACATAAAAAGCTTAATTAATTTATATTACATATATATTCGACGATTTTACTTCCATTTATACAAAAGATATTTCAACATTTAATTGAGAGATAACGTATGAGACATATATTTAAAAGAGAGACTGAACATTTTTCATGAGAGTTTTTCATTGCAAGGGATTTCATTTGGAAAATTTCAGCACCGCAGATATCGCATTAATCGGCTTAGCCGTTATGGGACAAAATCTTATATTGAATATGGATGATCATGGCTTTGTCGTTTGTGCCTACAATCGTACGACGGATAAGGTAAAAGCATTTCTTGAAAATGAAGCTAAGGGCACAAAAATCATTGGTGCATTTAGTTTGCAAGAAATGGTTAGTAAACTTAAGTCTCCAAGAAGAGTAATGTTATTAGTTAAAGGTAAGGCAATAATGTTTTTATATATGTGTATTATATATATATATATATATATATATATGTGTTGCAGTTGTAAGAAAACCGCTCAATTTAGTTGGTTAATTGCCGATTAAGTTTTATGATATTCGCTTCAGTAGTAAAAGTATTGAAATTTTGATAATTATTTCTTTAGGTCTAATACAAATATTGATCGACGTTTACATGTATATTTTATAACGTGTCGTTATAATAATACAAAATGTATGTAATTGAAAAGATTTTGTAGAAAGAGCAAATGAGTGATTTGGAACACATATAACGTGTTCGTTCGTAGTAAACGTAGATTAGATTAAATAATCCTTGTACGTCGACGTTAATAAATAAATTTTCGTAAGAGTCTGAAAGTCATGGGTACGTTCGCAGCTGGCTCCGCTGTAGATGCATTTATCGAGCAGCTTGTGCCTTTGTTATCTCCCGGAGATATTATCATTGACGGTGGTAATTCCGAATATCAAGATACCGAAAGAAGAACGATATATTTAGAGGAAAAGGGAATACATTTTGTTGGAAGTGGAGTAAGCGGAGGAGAAGATGGAGCACGATATGGGCCCTCCTTAATGCCCGGTGGTAATCCTAAAGCTTGGCCGCATATCAAGGAAATCTTTCAAGTAATAATGCAATTGCTAAATAATGATCGTTTCGTAATTCTCCTATGAAAAATCATTTCATGAAGACGTACTTTCCAGGCGATATGCGCTAAGGCTGACGGGGAGCCCTGTTGCGATTGGGTAGGTGAAACCGGTGCAGGACACTTTGTAAAAATGGTACACAATGGTATCGAATATGGTGACATGCAACTTATTTGCGAAGCCTATCATATCATGCGAGATGGTTTACAATTGGATCAAAAAGAAATGAGCGAGGTTTTTAATGAATGGAACAAAGGGGAATTGGATTCATTTCTTATTGAAATAACTAGAGATATTCTTAAATACAAGGACGAGAAGGGCTATTTGTTGGAACGTATAAGGGATACGGCGGGACAAAAAGGAACCGGTAAATGGACGGCTATAGCGGCATTGGACTACGGTATACCTGTCACATTAATCGGAGAGTCAGTTTTTGCAAGATGCCTTTCCTCCCTGAAAAATGAAAGATTAGAAGCTAGCAAAGTGTTGGAAGGACCCGATCGTACTTTGTACCAAGGCGACAAAAAACAGTTCCTGGAACATTTACGAAAAGCTTTATACGCGTCGAAAATAATATCTTATGCGCAAGGCTTCATGTTACTGAGAGATGCTGCACGGGTTCACAAGTGGAATTTGAATTACGGCGGTATAGCGCTTATGTGGAGGGGTGGATGTATTATAAGAAGGTAAATATGACGTGTAAAATTATCGACAGAGCGATTCGTTAACTAATGATTATACTATCTTTTATAGTGCATTTTTGGGAAATATAAAATTGGCTTTCGATAAAAATCCAAAACTTAGCAATTTACTGTTGGATGACTTTTTTGCCAAAGCAATGAAGGAATGCCAGAAGAGCATTAGATTCGTCGTTTCTAATGCTGTGACCCTTGGAATACCAAGCCCTGCATTATCAACGGCATTGGCATTTTATGACGGCTTTAGAACTGCTCGGCTCCCAGCGAATTTACTTCAAGCGCAAAGAGATTATTTTGGAGCACATACGTACGAATTGATCGGTCAAGAAGGTCAATTTGTACACACAAACTGGACCGGTCATGGAGGAAACGTGTCCGCTTCTACGTACGATGCTTGATGATGTCTCGAAGAGAAATATAAAGAGAAAGAAGAAAAAAAAAAAAAAAAAGAAAACGATAAAGAAGCAAGTGTTGTGCAAGTTGACGTTATGTAATAACGCGTCAATGGTTTCGTTGATAATATTGATCAAAACTTTTGTTTTAGGGCGATCATAAAAAGTGTTTCTCTTTAATAAATATTTAATATTAAAATTTTATTGCTTCCTAAATGATAAATATAAGCGTTTAGTTATACGAACGTGGAAGATGTTTCTACAGACTAATATTATTTTTCTACATCTTATTGTACACGGCTGTCTTAACGAACATAAATATATTTTTGAAAGTGAAAAAAGATATAATATAATTTGATCAACTCTTTTGTAACAATTTATAATTCCCGTAATCGTAAGGTTTTACACCGAGTACAAGGAAGAGAATTGTATTAGGCGCCACGTTACTCTTTTACGTTACGTTTACATTTAACCAAAAGATTCGTGGCTTCGTTCCGATGAAACGTTCGATGGACAAATATTAAATTCAATGGGAATTCGATCGAATGAGAAAAGTCTTTTATAAGAAATTCATCCAATATCCGTTTAATACGTTTATATGATTGGTTCGAGGAAAGTATTTTTGCGAAGCGCCAATCACAAAGACCGTACGAGAAAGAGAGATTCTGAGACTGGCGTGTCTCGTCAAACAAATTTAAGAGTCTATATTTGTAATTGTTTTTCTTATAAACATTTCGCCATTTTCTTTCTTCATTTTTTCAACCAATTCAGTTTTTATCCTGTAAACTGTATTGACTTGAGTTGCCTGTGGTTTTTTAGAGGAAAGAAAAGAAAAAAGATGCAGGAAGAAAGTTACCAGATAAAAGTTCCCACACATCCCGTTTCCGGTCGAAAGAGAACCATTCTGAAGTTACCGAACAATCGATAAAAGGGTCCAGAATGGAAGCCAGTCATAAACAACTTATTTATCTTCATAATAATTGGTTGCCGCAAACGTTTGCGACACATAAAACAGAATTCTGCGTTTTTATGTAAGTATAATTTAAGTTGAAATTTGAACGTTATACGGAAACGCTACTTACATTACATTATTTCCGATAGAAACATATGGCTATAAGGTCCTTCCCATTGTCGTTTGCTAGTTAACCTCAATTCTTCTTTCATAAAATTCTTCATACGTAGACACATATAATATATATTACCTCTTTGGGTTTATGCGACAGTTGTAGATGATCAATGTTGGAAGGATGGTATTGTCGTTCTATCGCAAACAACAATGCAGATGCAGAGGAAGATGACGAGGAAAGCCCAGAAGAGGAAGTACCCAATTACAAGGATCAGTATCGAAATCTTAAGAGAAAATTAAAATTTCTTATTTATGTACGTTGCGATACGTCAAAGTCTATAAATCAACATATATCAACATTATATGTCAACGTTTTATTAACAAAGAAATCTATTACAGGAAAATGAATGTTTTCAAGAAGCTTTAAGATCCACTCAAAGAAAGTTACTTAAAGTAAACAGGGACAAAAGTTTCTTATTGGACAGATTGTTGCAATACGAAAAGGTAGACACGTCATTTAGCGAAAGCGATGAAACTGAATCGTCCGACGAGGAAGTTGCTAGGCTTGATACGTCCAAGAGGTAACTTTTAACGTTAATTTTAATCGTAGTTAATCGTTTCTTCCAATTTCTTCCTATATATCGTTACAATACCTTTCCAGAAAAAAGATAGAAATGAGTGTTGGTAATCATATTTCGCATCATCCGTCTACAGTTACAAAACCTCTTAATACGAGCAAAAAGAAAAAAGCTGCGCCAAAAGTAACGAAAACGAACAGCATACCCACGGTATGTAACGTCTTATATATAGACGTGTGCGTCTTCTCTTTTGTTAATAGAAAGTTCAACGTTTATGTTAATAAAATAATTCTTTTTTTTTTTTTTTCAAGGTACAAGCGTCCAACAATATGGTACCAATGTCTTTAATGTCGGATGGACATATGACACCGGAGGAAGTAGAAAGGCATTTGGAATCTCGTCAAACGTTTATAGAACTTGTTCCAGAAAAAGCACCACCTACGGTTCCAACAGAAATGTTTAGCAATGATCCTTCGCTGGATAGGTAACATTTCATATCTATCGAATAGTCGAAATATTAATTCATTTCATTATGGTGACTATACTCCTCTATTGCGATCGTCTATTCTAGTGAATCCAATGAAATCGGCGAATTAGAAACGTCTCCCAGTAATATGGGCGAAGATTGTCTCAGCATGGACATGATGGCTGAGTGACATCAATTCAGTCATAGATTATTAATCAATTATAAATTGCACATAATTGCATGTTTCGTTAATATTAATATTTTATTCAATTAACTTATCTGTGTATTCGTCGTGTGTAGCATAATAAAATTTTTTATACATATGAAAAATGTATATGTAAAATATCTTTATAAATAATTTTGATCCAGTGTTTGGGGCAATATTTCATTTAATTAATATATCAATATCATTGTTCGTCGTTCTTATATATAAAAATCAAGACGTTTTCTATGAACATGAATGTACGCGCGTCTGTTGTACGCGCGTGCGCGTGCGTGTGATACGCTTAAAAGAATTTCTCTCTTTGGCTTCGATTTGTTTCTGTCCTTGATTTATCAATCATCCATTGTTTTTTCTTTTTTTTTTCCTTCTTAGTACACAATACTCATTTCGTTATAATTCATTATATATTTTTCAAGATATATCGGAAACGTTGGATATAATGATTACCGTTAATAGTTCAGTCGCAAGTACATTAGAAAGAATCATTTGCAAGATAGAAGTAGAAACGACTTCGGATAAAGAAATTTCCCGATTTGCAACTAAACGAAAACTCGATGACATTGGAATGTCAGGTAAAAAAAATAAACGGGCACGGTGCGAAACAGCTGGTGTAGAAGAAATACATTGCCGTATATGTTATGATTCTAATCAGCAATTTCCTATTGTTTATCCATGCAAATGCAAGGTTGGTTCATATAAATGTCAATATATTCAACATGCTGATATGAGATAATAAAGAATATAATATAGTAATATTGTATATTACTTATGATTGTACAATATGTACAATTTCCTCTCTTCTTGCCTATTCTTGGTAATTAATACGCGTGCATATATATATATATGTATATATATGCATATATATACATATATATACATATATATGCATATGTATATATATATATATATGTACGTAAGATTATAACATTTGTCATTATTTAGTATATATTATCGAGCTGCTGCAGTCCATTAGACTTAATAAATATATACTTATGTTTGAGCATAGAAGAACGTAATATGAAAAAGTTTATGTCTTTTGTTGCATACAATTCAAATAATTATCTTACACAATTCTTTCGTCCACTTGAATTTTATTAACTATAGAAAAATAAATATGTCGCTTGTATATGAAATTTGTATATATTATTTATAGGGAACAATGGGTGCTATTCATGTGAAATGTTTGGAACATTGGTTAGAGGAAAGCAATAGAAATAGCTGCGAATTGTGCGGACACGTATTTCAAGTTGAACGCACACCACGTTATAAAGCTATTACATCTATTATTATTTGGCTGTGCATTAGTCAACATCAACGCCAATTATACATGCGCAATTTGAGAACAGATTTACTTCGCTGTATCATTGTCACACCACTGACTATAATATGTTCATACATTTGCGTGGTCGGGGCTGATTTTTATGCAATGAATAATTACAATAATTTTCCCCCAGCACGATGGACTACTTATTCTTTGCTAGTAATGATGGCATTATTAATTTTCTCATATTTTCTATGGATATACATGGCAATTCAGAATCATCAAAAAATTTGGTTCTATTGGTGGCAGAAAACAAGCGCGGTGAAAATTACATTGCCTTTGCAGAATAGAACTTCAATAAACTATAAATCTAATATATCACAAGTTTGATCATTATTTGACAATTAAAATCATAGAGCGGTATATATACAAACATACATATATATACATACATACATACATACATACATACGTACGTACATACATACGTAGATACGTACATACGTATACAAATATATATGCGAATGCCATTGAAGAGTTACGCTGCTCGGCGTTTTATAGAAATCTTGCCACGACTCAGTTGTGATATGTAAATCCTGACTTTGCTTCCATCCGAGATTTTTTTCACCCATATCTATAAAAGGGCATAAATTAAACCGATCACTTTTTGCTATTACTTAATATGCGCCGAAAAATATAAAAGCATTTCAAGTATCATTTGTTTTTAACAATGTCAGCATTAGTTATTCTTCGTTCGTTATTTCTGAATTAGTTAATGAATACGTAGAATAATTTCACTTACAGCTTCTGTCCCGATCGCTGATATGTTTGCTGCAAATCTTGTCAAGTCTTGTCCCTCTACATATACCGGTTGTCCACGATGGAACCTATGGAATATTTCAAGTTGTTATATACAAATTTTTATATGACCGAGATATATATTGTTAAATTCTTTGTCAGATATTGATTATACGTAAAAAGGTTACATAGACACGTTACCATCTTCTTTCGTATAAGAGTTTTCCGCCTTCTATCCTTGTTTCCACTAGAGATGCGTCGGTAGACGGCGAAATATGTTGAGATTGTATATTTACCGTATTGTAATGCGGTAACACTACTATTTAAAAGATTAGATAGATAACGATGAAAATGTATTCAAACGAAAGGCACAATAGGTAATAAGAACTTGTGAGATAAGTACCTGGTTTCCTTATTGTCGTTAAAATTTTACCTCGACTAATAGCCTTCAAATCACTTTCTATTTCTTTTTCATCCAATAGATAGTTCAATTGTGCAGGAGGCGGCTTTCTACGTTTCTCAACTTTTTCGGGTACTGGATCATTCGGCCGTCTACGTAATTTTCTCGTCATTACTGGCTTTACCTAGGATAAAATAGTTACAAATGATAGATTATTAAATATTTATTTTCTTTATATGCGCGTATGTAAACTTGGCATTGGCTAAAATTGCCTAATTTAAATGAAATAATTCAACCTCCATCGAATCCCCTGTAAGTTCCATTGTATGACGATCAGATTCTATCATTTTCCTTTTTTCTTCCATATCAGTCAGTAAGTTTTCTTTCAAATCTATTTTCTTTTCCTCAAATTCTTTAGCGGCCGCTTTCTTCTCGAGTATGTAATCTCTCTCGACCCACTCTGTTAAATAATCTCTATAGATTATATTGAGGCGCAACCTAACAATGAGTAAAGTAAGAAACAAAAAAAGTATCAACATCAGAAAACAAAAGAAAAACAAAAAAAAAGACGATTCGATCAACGATAATGCGTTACCTCTCTTTGTATTGTGCTTCTAAGCGTTTTAGTTTGCGATTATATTCCGGATGAGTGCCATCCTTCAGTTGTTGCAACTGCTTCTTTAAATTAGCTAATTTGTCTTGATATACCCTAAAATGCATTTTTTTTCTTTTTCTTTTTCTTTTTCTTTCTTTTTTTTTGTAACTAAACCAAGAGATCAATCATGATCTTTAAAGAAAAAAAATATATAATCATATCTCACTGTTCTTTTATTTCCGTATATTCCTCGGATTTTCCCATATCGGTCTCGCTAGCTTCTTCCGTGTCTGTATATTGAATTATAATAATATGTTACAAACAAAATTGTAATGGACAATTCAACGTACTATTGAAACGTTGACGATATAACAATAATGAGTCTCGTTTAATATACAATATATACCTTCATCGCTATCGTCCTGTTCCTCCGCATCACGATCTTCCTCGACGTATTCCTCATTATCTTCGTCGATGTCATAATCTTCTTGGGTGTACATCGTTGAAAACGGTGAATTTTGATACGACATTGTCTCATCGAAATTAATATATCTACATTCTCAGACTCAAAAGCTTCATGCTTTTAGGTTAGAGACATAAAATATGAACGAACGATAAAGCTTCCATCACGTGTCCCATATGCAAACACAACAAAGCGCAACGCATTCTTATAATGGATCGTAGTAGGATGAGCTGGAAAATATAATCGATTAGATCTCATTCTGAAGAATGAGAGCTCTTTTGAAAACTAAAAGATATTTACTTTTGAAAGATAATGCTCTTTGGCGAGAATAGTTTATGCATCAAAAATAAAGTCCTTTTAAAGAGTCGAAGTCGAAACAGGAACGAGACTTAGATCTTATTATTTTTAAAATGAGGTGATTTTATTTTTCATCAAAGATCGGTCAAGAATTATTCCTGGACTAATCGTTGAAGTCAAATTTCTGCTTTTCGACGTTCTTTTGCGAAGAAAACGTTTCGTACAGTGCTGAACCTTGGAAAGATTTTTTATTTTTTCTTCTTTTCCATTGCATAAACCATACTGGAAAAATAGCATTTGTCAATGTGATTTTTTTTGAAAGAAAATAAAGCTCTTAAAAGAATTTTAACAAGATACGTACTAAATCAAGCCTTCGTCTTTAAAATGATCTTTTTCGTCAAAATCTGTCCTAGAATTATATCGGGCGTTTTCATTGATGGCGTAAATCATCCAAGGATAGCTTTGATCCTTTACCGCTAGGTTGCACTTTGAACCACAATTTAAACCACAGTTTGCATTCTCCAAGATTCTATAACAAGATTTAACTATCTTGTTGCTAACTGAGTTTCACGTGATAAGTACGTGGATAACGATTCTTTTATATTTTTCTTTAATCTTTCTTCTTGTAAGATTAATTCTAATCTAAAGGAATTATATAGATATATAAGGAAATATTGAGAATATATGAAAGTATAAAATCAAATAAGAGTGGTATAGTATAGGTGAAACCTAAGTAAAATTCATATTATTTTAAGGTTACTAAAATATAAAATATACATTGTCAGAATGCAATCTAATAATATACAGGAAGGTTTTGCCACAAAAGCTATTCACGCTGGTCAAGATCCGGCGCAATGGAGTCATTGGTCGTTAGTTCCACCTTTAGTAATGTCTACCACCTTTCAGCAAAATGCTCCGGCAGAACATAACGTAAGTCTAAGAAATGAGATAAAGTTCAATAAGCGTATATATATATATATATATATATATATATTTTTTTTTTTATGGTTACAAAGTATACACATTGAAATGTTTCTTAGGGTTACGAGTATGGCAGAAGTGGTAACCCAACGCGCAATGTATTGGAGACTTGTTTAACGGCATTGGAAGGTGGAAAGCATGGTTTTACTTTTTCATCGGGTTTGGGAGCCATCACAGCTATAACCGGCTTATTGCAAACTGGCGATCACATAATTTCTGGAGATGACGTATATGGTGGAACTAATCGTCTCTTTCGAAACTGTCTAGTTAAACAAGGTATTAAAATTTCTTTTGTCGATCTGACAGACGTAGAAAATCTTGCGGCTGCTATACAACCAAATACCAAGGTCAGTCTAATAAGAAATCTAAACTAAAGTGATCTTTTTTTTTTTATATAATGTGTGCGTTTTCAAATGTAACGTTTAATCTAGACATTGTTTTTCAGATGGTTTGGTTGGAGACGCCTACAAATCCTTTATTAAAAATAGCAGATATTGAAGAAATTGCAAATGTTTTAAAGTCTAAAAATTCAGATATCATTTTGATAGTCGATAATACTTTCCTGACGTGTTATTATCAAGTGAGTGATATAATTTGACAGATATCATTTTTGTTGAATCTGAACTTATCGAATGATGTAAAAAAAACTCTATATGTGTGTGTGCGTACGTCTGTGTACGTATGCGTTTGTAGAAACCATTAGAGCTCGGAGCTGATCTTGTAGTATATTCTTTAACAAAATATATGAACGGACATTCGGATATTATCATGGGTGCAGTAATTACAAGGAGAGACGATTTAGCGGAAAAGCTTCGTTTTTTACAAAATGGTATGTGAACTTATCGACGCGAATGTACCTTTACTAATTATATATTTAAATATTACAGCAATGGGAATAATTCCGTCGCCTTTTGATTGTGCCATGGTCAATCGTAGTTTGAAAACTTTAGAACTTAGAATGCAGCGGCATATGAAAAATGGATTAACCGTTGCCAAATTTTTAGATAATCATCCTCTAGTGGATAAAGTTATTCACCCTTGTACGTATTAGTTCTATTTTGATAGTATATGTTATTTTTGTTGCATCCTTTTTATAAATTATCCAATGACATATTTTTGCGTCTATCATACTAATTGAGCTTATTTAGATAATATCAATATTTTTAGATCTCCCGTCTCATCCGCAATATCAACTTGCTCTTAAACAATCAACAGGTCACAGTGGCATAGTATCATTTTATATTAAAGGAAATGCCAAAAAATTTTTGAAAAGTCTTAAAATATTTGCTTTAGCAGAATCGCTTGGTGGTTATGAATCTTTGGCAGAATTACCGTAAGTGCTACTGTATAATAGAGGTATATTAAACGTTATATAATAATAATATTAATGTTATAGATCCGTTATGACTCATGCTTCTGTCCCAGAAGTCACAAGGAATGAACTAGGAATTACTGATCAGTTAGTTCGTTTATCCGTCGGACTTGAAACGGAAAAAGATTTGTTAGCAGATCTTAATCAAGCTTTAGAAGCTTCTCAATGATACGAAAAATATTATTCACGTGTAATTATTTTTAAATATTTCAACATTACAGATCGCCGACATTGAAACTACGTAACACGCACGCGCACGCACACACACACAGATACACACACACACACACACACACACACACACACACACACACACACTGGCAGCCTTTCTGTTGAGTTAGAAAGGAGAGACATATAAATTATTAGAAATTATTTTTTTTAAAGAATGTTTAATATAACACATTCCAGTAATCACAAGCCGAATAAGAATGCAATAGTGGTCTATTTTGCTACGTGCTTTGCATCGATTTTTGAGATCGTATATATATATATATATATTTTTTTATATATATGTTATATAACTGCTGTTATTATTAGTTTCATTATTTGATGAAAAGAAATTAGTCAATATAAATTTCCTCCTTGCCTGATCGCATATCTATGCATAGATTTGTACATTTCTTTATATCCATATACTACTGGCGAAAAAAAAAAAGAAAAAGAAATTGCCAAATATAGTCTTTTATTTACACGTGCGTAAACTTTTATTGAATATAAATAAATGTAATATTTCCAGTAAGGAAATATCATTGAGAAAGGGACAAATATTCCTATGGTTTTGACATTTTTGGAACTTAAATCACTTAGACTTATGTAATTAGACTATTTAGATAAATTTTTTGAAAACTTTAAAAGAACAAAAAAAGAGGGAATCGTTATAAATGTTCAAATGAAGAACAAAAACGAAGGAGTAATAAAAATTTAATTCCATAAAATTAGTTGAATATTAGAAACAAAATGCGATAGAGATATTTAATGATATTAGAGAGATGTGAGACAATAAACAATGATTATATGGCGTTGTTGTCAGTATTTATATAAATTTTTATTGATTTTGAAATTTTATTACTGTAAATTAATTTTCGAAGTATGTCGTAATTTAGCAGTTTTAATCCTATCATATTCTTGCGCTTGATTGTATAACAATACACCTGCTATTACAGCACAAGTTCCAAGGGCCGATAAACCAGTTACTGAATTATTGAACAGTAAAACTGAGAGCCAAATTAAGAAAGCTCTTTTTGCTGTATTGGCGACACTGAAAAATGGATAATAATATGTTAACGTCATTAAGCGATTTATTTGTTATTTGTCTATTAACGTTCATAAAATTGTACTACCTACCTGTGCGTCACAGGACTTATATAGTCCATAAGTACATATGCCGTAATACTTTGAAAATGGAAGAACACGCCATTCAAGAGAAATGCCGCGAATATTTTAAAACTTAGGGAATGCTCAAGAGCCGGCAAATCTACTAATAGAATTGACACTGGTATTTGTACCACGACCGATGCTAAACTTGTATAAAACTGTAATTCTGCTGGTCTAGAATTATATATATATATATATATATATATATATATATATATATACATGTGTGTGTGTGTGTGTGTGATAATAAATGATGCTAATATATCGACTTGAAATACAAATAAGATAAAGAACGTATTAACTTATGATGTACGGTTTAATGCAGGGAACAACATGACTTACGTATATTTGAAATTGTCCCCGCTAATCAACATCTTTGAATAAACATTTTGAAGACACTCGGTCATGTTTGTGGCCATAGCGGCAATAAATCCTCGTAAATCGAAACTAATTTCATTTACCGAGCATAAAGCCAAACCACCCATTACAGGGATCAATGATAAATTTACATACAATCCAGTGTGTTCTCCTATAATGAAAATATCAATAGTATTTTTACATCGATACACTTATATCCCATGTAAATAATCATAAATGTTAGCCTTACCTAATAAATATCTGCTAATAAGGACGGTAAAAAGTGGTGCGCTACTCTTAATAGTTTCTGTAAAGCTTACCGCCACATAATTGAGCGATACTAATCCTAAGACTACGGTTGTAAACCTTGTACATCCAACCAGTATCATGTGTTTATAGAAACCCGGTGGTCGCATTAAACGCGAACTAGCCTTATACATGCCGCAGGGAAAATACATTTGTATAAATCCACAAATTGCTGTCATTAACATTTGACAGGCACCTGTCGATTATCACAAATTTCTAAGAGAATATTTTTCTATGGCAATGTAAAATTTACAATGAATTAATACGAGGAAAAAATATCTTACCCAAAATAGTTGGATTGCCTTCCATGTATGACAATATGTATTTGTTTAAAAATAATGTACACCCACTGAAGACATACCATAACGTTAGGAATAATAATGCCCTTGGATTAAATAAACCGCCCTTTACGTCGTTCGTCAATATGACTATTTCTTCCCGTTTTTTAACGTGTTCCGTATATTGTTTCCCGTGGCTTTCGTGTACCATCGACAATTCTTCCGTCCCATGAGGGACACCTTGCGCGTAATTAATACGAACGGAATGATTTTCCATCACACCTTTAGGATTTATGACATTACGTATGATTTATAATAAATATTATATTGTATTCCAATGAATTTACGTCCTTCCGCATTTCTATCGTAAAACTGAATAACATCAGCTTTTATTGGCAATCGGTATACGTCGGCTGATTTCGATGGGGAAGCAATACGTGTATTTGTTTATGTTCATACTTAGGTTATGCTAGGCGAACTCAACTTATCGCTCAAACTTTTTCTACAGATATACGCCGTGATATGGCACGATAATTAACACTCGCGCACGGACTTGAATCAATTGTCTCTTCATAATAATTTATCAACTTTGCATCTTTCGTCAATAAATTCCTTCGACTTGATATTAAATCGATTATGATGCGTCCTAAGCTTTCATCGGTATATTAAAGCCACGAAACTTGAACGCATCCACAGCGACCGCAGTAGACCAATCGCGTTATTCGATTCGTTTGACCGAGTGAACGAAGGGAAAGAAAGAAGGAAAGGAAAGGAAAGGAAAGGAAAAATATAGATAACAAAACTATTTAGACCAGTAAAAAAAATTGTAAAGATTTTTATTATTTACGCGATTATAGCGATTCTTTTTTATTTTCCCTTATTTCATTATCTTATCTAACTAAAGATAATGACCGTTTTCTATTTTTTCTCTCTACAATTTGTAGATTGTCCATACCATTCGTAATTACAATGCTCTAATGTTTCTTGGATGGGGAAAAAGAGGGCGGGCGGGAGAGAGAGAGAGAGAGAGAGATAACCAATGATCTTAGAGCTCTATTTTATATTTATCCTTGTCCATATCCGAGCTATGCGGTTCGTCCGAGAACCTTCGTAAAAACTCATCGTAGGCTAGAATCGCTACGTTTCTTCCACCTATAGCACTCATCTCCATCGCACTGGCCGCCCATTCTATGGCATTAACGTGATAAAGGCCATCGTAAAGTTTAAATTTATCTAATCGTACGTTCGTAGAATATCGTGGGTATGCCTTCCAAATCATTTCTTTCACTTCCTCGATCTAAAATGGAAAAGCTTATTAAAATAATTCGAAAAGAAATATTTCGAGAATGGATTTGTCCCGTACATTGAGAAAAATATTGTGTAAATCATTAAGGGATAACGAGGCATTGCTAAAGATCTTCCATATTTTGGAATCAGTTTCAGTTGGGCCTTCGACCGTGTCCACTCTTCCAACGGAATGAATTAGCGCATTGGAATTGCAACTTAATATGTTATCTAATTCTTCCTCGAGTCCAAAATAATTTCGATTCAAATCCCCTTTTACAAATGTCGCGATAGTCGTCTGGTATTCTCCTAAAAATACAAAGTCCGTAGGGAATTCTTCAAACGTAATCGGCATCTTCTGATCTTTCGTTAATGGAGTCGCAAGGATCACTATGTCATAGTGATTCTTCATGAGATTTGAGTTATCTAAAAAATGAAATATTTCGTTATAGTTTGCCGAGCGATAAAGCTCAGTTAAGTTTCAACGAACCTTCGCTCGAATATTGTACTTCATAAATGGGAAAGTTATTAACAGTCATATAACGTATCTTCTTAACGTAAGAAGACACTACGTTAACGTTAACATTTCTATATATCAAGTGTTCGACTACCTAAAATGACGATGCAGGATAATAAAATGAAGCAGAAAAGCCATATTTATTTTCTAACCGGAGATATTACTTTCTTGTTTCCCCCTTTAACTGCCCATAGATTTCCAATAGCTGAGGCAAGCGTTACGCAACCGACAAAACTTTGAATGTCCATTGTCTGTCCATAATCTACTAATAAGGGCGCTTCGACTAATTCGTCGATCAATTTCTCCGCATATCCCATGTTTAAAAGATGATCTTTAATGGACACTTGCAATAGCTTTGGAAATTTCTCGTTCATGGCCATTAGCATAGATATCAGATCGGTGAAGGACTGACCCTTATTTTGTAATTGGTAAATTTTATTGAAATCGGCAATTATAGAAGCTATATAACTAAAAGAGAAGATTCGTCGATCGGTCGGTCGGTCTCGGTCGGTTATCGATATCGTGTGTATCTATATACTTTGGAAGATTAATAAAATTTATACCTGTTAAGTCTAAACGGTTGTATACCATATTTATATATTAATTTGGCTAAAGTAAATATCTTGGAATCGCTTTCTTGGAAAACAATATCTGTACCGTCCCATATAGCAAATTTTTCCTCTCTGGTAGGTCTATGTTCCATTCCTACGAGAGTATTGAAACAAATGGATTATTACATTAATGAATTTAAATATTAAAATTAATGAATTAAATGTCATAGAATGTACCAAGCAAATTTACAAATTCTTGCATGTATTTGTTTTCTTGGTGTATAATCGAACCTCCGGCCTCGTACTCGTTATCGTTAATTTTTATCGTCGCCAAACGACCACCGATCTTGTTAGCTTCGTAAAGGTCAATTTTTAATTCATTGTTAAATAATTCGGTGAGAAAATGCGCGGTCGAGGCAGCTCCTATACCTCCACCAATGACGGCTAGATCGCACGTGACCGATAGATATTAAAGGAACGAAGAAAAGAAAAAAAGGTTTCATATTATTAATAATAATTCAATATTATGCGTGCGCGTAAAAGAAATGATATATCTCTTACCAATTTTTGGTGTTTGTATTTTCAAAGAGAATGCATATTTTAATAGAAAACTTGTCAACACTGTGAGAAAATAACAACGATGCATATTAAATTTACAAAAATTACGCTCTTGTATGTAGAAAAAAGTATTATATCCGCCTGTGTTATTTATTTGATACAGGCACTATTTTTCGTACGATATCAGGAAAAAAAATATATATATATATATATGTATATATTTTTTTGTACACTTGATAAATTAATATCGCAAGGTTATGTTTTTTATATAAATGCGGCACCGACAGAGGTCGCGTCTTTTAAAAAGTAGCGCCATCTTTCTAACTTGTTTACACGCTTGCTTAGTTTCAATTATTCGACGACGTGAACGACCAAATTTGACGTTGCGTATCGAGTGTTTTAGGTATTTACGAGAGAAGATTTACACCTTCTTGAAATCTTTGAACGGAAAAGCGAACGAACGTAAGGACAATTGTTCGATTAATGAATAGAATACTGAAATATGATATTACGTTGCATCTAATTGTAACTATGATTGAGAGAAGTCTTAACGTAGATACGTATTTAGCGTTACAACTTGTTGATTTTTGTTCCAAAGACGAGATGCTTGTCGAGATGCTTTTTCATTAAAAGCGTATATAACGTAAGGTACGGTTTTCTAAGCTGCTCCTTTGTTGCCGTACCTTTTTCACCTTCGAAATGTATATATATATACATATATTTGAAGGCATATATTAAGAAACAGACGGAGTTTCGTCAATAACTAAATATACAGTATTGTCATTGTTTTCGTCATCGTATTTGCAAGAAAAATTTGGAAGATCGAGGACAGCACTTGGTTGCCGCGCACGTTCTGCATTCTATATCCGTGCTTTTACGAACAAACCGTGCAAAGTGAAACGAAACTTTGCGTTTAAACTATTTTCAGAAGCGACGCTCGTATAAGATCGTTATGTATTTTCATGTGTACGCGCGTACACAACGTTAAACAACGGTAGGTCGTAATAGCGAGATAAATTTAATACAACAAAATGATTTGCTTCTATGTAAATCGGTAAGTATATTAACTAACCAACGATCAATTTTGATTCGTTATCTTTCATTATCTCGTTGTCCGGATCGAAAGTTACGATGCTCGTCTTTTTCGACGAGTCTTTTGATACGGGATATACGTACGATTGGATGAAAAGCTATTTGAAAATATATGATTACTTGGAATTAGAAAGAAAAAAACCTAGACCGATAGAGACCGAGGTGAATGCGTGTCTCATAAATAAGGACGATACGGTTTGTTACCTTATCTTTGGGAAGCAAATTTATTTTGATTTCGCCGATAAGCTCAGCCGATCGTACCTCATTCGCGTTTGTTTGCTTGGCCCACATATCATCGCTTTTATTTTCATTCGCGATTCGCGTTACTTTTCCTCGGAGTGCCGATCGAATTTTTCAATCGAAGAAGTACGACGTACGTTAGGATGCGATTTCACGAGAATTCCCAACGAAACGAATAATCTCGCTTTCGGCCTAAATTCCTATCTACCATTTGGAATCTCTTTGTTGGCCGACAGATGTATCTCGTTTTGTTTTTCTTTTTCTTCAATTCGTGTCTAGCGAAATGGACGACGAGAAGGCGTGGGGGCGAAAAGTTCGTTTCGACGATTAAGTCGTTTAAAAAAGATCAGCTTTCGCGTCTGTTGCCGAGCCGAGGACAGTGATCGAGAGAGAGAGAGAGAGAGAGAGAGAGAGAGAGAGAGAGAAAGAGCGAGCGAGTAACGGGAAACGCGCAAATATCTCGAGAAACGCCGAGCCCTTATCTTTCTTTTCTTTCTTTCTTTCTTTCTTTCTTTCGAGAGCCCTCCTATCCGGGATATGCGAGCGTGCGTACACGTCGATACGCGAAACTCTATTCTTGAAAGGCGAGTTATATAGAAGTTGGTCGGACGAAACTAAACGTGAGAAGTGTACGTGTAGTACACGTATCTCTCGAGCGAAGGAAGATGAATGAAATCAAAGGAAAATTATTGATCGCTTTTTTCACGGAGCCCAATAAGACGAAAGAAAGAAAGGAATGATTGGTATATTCGGAGAATAGAAAAATGTATCTTCGGCGTGGAGCCGGCCGTCTCCTGAGCGCCGGCATTGGCGTCTCCTTCGCCGCACGCCGCTCTTCGCTCTCTCTCGTACTTTCGGGTGGGAGTAAAACGAGAGAACCCGAGCGGTTTAACGAGAGAGAGAGAGAGAGAGAGAGAGAGAGAGAGAGAGAGACCACGAGAAAGATGAAGCGAGACGATATAGGAAGTCGATGGTGGGGGAAACGGCCGATCTGACCGGAGAGAGGGAGAGAGAGAGAGAGAGAATATGTAGGAATCTGCAACACGGTGGGAGGAGCGCAAGTCGGAGAGAGAAAGAGAGAGGGCCGATGGACTCGAAGGAGAGGGAAAAGCACGGTGCTTTTGAAAAAGTTTTATCTTGCGGCGCGCTTGGTCTCTCAGACGCTACCGAACGCCGGTACGGTGTTGCACGGTGTGTGCTGTGCTTTCTTCGCCGTTCCATCGGGAGAACAGACAGACAGACAGACAGAGAGAGAGAGAGAGAGAGAGAGAGAGAGAGAGAGAGAGCGAGAGAGAGAGAGCGAGTAAAGGAGGGGGAGAGAGGAGAGGAGAGGAGAGGAGAGAAGAGAAGAGGAGAACAGAGTCAGAGATCATCGCGTGGACCATCTTCTCGCAAAGTCCTCGCGCGTACCCTTCTTCCCATACCGATCCTCTACTTTTTATTCTTCGTATCTCGTCATTGCCCACTCGCGTTTGCAACGACGGACGCACGCGGATAATTAAAAGGAACAACAGGTTCTTCGTCTTGCATTCTTTTATTCAAATACACGCGTAATGAGTCGTTGACGAATTCGCCGAAAGAAAGAGACAGATAAATAGAGAGAAAGAGATTGTAATTTCACGCGAGAAGAGGGCGAAGAGATCGAGGAGTACTCTTTGCCTGTTATCGAAATGAAGAAGAATCGTGTTTTATTAAAGAGTGCGTTGCTCTTCTTGCTGATCGGCGCTGATCTACTACTCGTCTCCGCATCCGAGGTGAGTCTCTACGATTTTCATTTTTTTTTTTTTTCATCAAAGCTCCATGTTCCATACCTCGAAGAGAAATGCAGCGTGCCTTTCTAAGATTCGACGCGACCCACGTGTTCTCTCCTCGAAATATTTCGATTCCGTTGTTCTTCGAAAGATCGAACTCGAAGAAGGGAACGTCGTTTATATAAACACGTCTTTTATTTTCAAATTGGATAAATCAAATTGACTTATCATATACTTTTATTTTCTTGGAATAAAATTTATAAGCAACATTACGTATATATATATATATATATATATATATATGTATGTATGTATATGTATAGACCACCGGAGGAAAGCTCGATTCGATAGCGCGACGTTTACATTTTGACCTCTATGGGGAGTACCGTCGTTCTTGCGTTTCGGATTAGACTTATCTCGATAACTTGTGTTTCCCGATATTTAAGTCGATAACGCGACTCGCGATCGTTTCGTAGAAAACCGTGCGCGACGGCTACGATCAACAGGTACGTGTATGCGTACGCGAAGGACGATAGGTAAGAAAAGAAAGAAAAAAAAGAGGAAAAAAGAAAGACTTGTTTCTCCGAAGAGAAACTTGGCATCCTCTCTTTGCAAAATCGAATCGTTATTCCCGACGACGAGAGATACGAGACAAGAGAAACTCGCTGGATAGTCTCGATATGTTCCCTAACGGACGTGCGGATAATTCCTCGAGGTCGATTATATTCCGATCACACCTCCAACTTTGAGACAAGAAGGAGAGAGAGAGAGAGAGAGAGGTTTGTCGTGTGGCGGGCGTTAAGCATTACTCGCGCACCATCTCGAAATACACGAATAGAAAATTAACGAATAACCGAGATGCTTCGTATCCAGTGCGATTCAAAGAGAGATCGCGCCTTCTTTTAAAGATCTTCTTTCGTTCTTAAGATCGATGATGGAACGAAATACCGAAAGATAAAGCGTCTATTTAAAAGTCGGCCTGTAATAATTCGGACGAGCGACGTTATCTGCTCGTGTTGCGATGCTCGATAATCGCGATATCGCGTTTCGTCATGGTTTGGTGTACGCAGCCGAGCTCGTACGATAAAATTACTTCTGCCGGATGCACGTTAACATCGAGACCTAACTTAATTGGAGAGATTATCGGAGGTTGAAAGGACTCGATTCGCGAAATGGTAGCGCGTGCAGAGTTAATGACTCTATTTGAGCCGAGCCACGCGCGTATATTCTATTCTTTTCCACTGATTTTTTCACTGATCACCGATCGACCGATCCTCGTCAAGTTCTTGACTTGTCAGAAGATTGGTTTTTATGAGCGATATCCTCGAAGCACGGGCACATCGAATCGATAAAGTTCAGGTTGACGAGATCCGTCACGGTTCGTCGGCGAATCGTCGTCGTTCGACTTTAACATTTGCACACGTTACCTTTACTATAATATCGCTTGGCGCATTACGCAACGGGCTAATACGCGTCTCTCGACAAAGTATCTTTCGGAGAGACTTGTCGAAGGTTAACTATAATTCCTTCGGACGACGCGTCATCGATATCTCCTTGACGATGTTCTTCGATTCATCGTTCAATGCCTTTCTTTTGTCAGTTAGTCCTCAAAAAGTTGCTTCATCGAAATTATAATATTCGTTTTATCGTTTAGGGTAAAGAATTTGGGTGGTCCTTGCGAACCCAACGGATCTTTAAATGAAACAATGATCTTTCGTAGATTATGAAGTTATGTATGTATGTATATATATACATACATACATACGAACGATTTGTCAGAAAAATTCAGAAAGAAGACGGATCGTACGTTCTCACGACGAAATCCTTGTACGAGAAGAAAGGACGGAGGGTAAAGGATATCGAGGAAGAAGAGAAGGAAGGGGGTGAGGAAGGCATATCGGAGTACAAGGTTCCTTCATTATCGTATCCTTTTTCCTCGGACGTCGACATGGATATGGTCGTGTGGTGTGTTTTCGAACGAAGAAACCTTTCGAATGGATACGGTATTTGGATTCGTTTGGGAAAAGGATGAAGGGAAGATTTGTACCTTATGAAAAATATGGTAATGCAGGTGGCTTTCCGCTTCGACGGGGCTTTCGGTTCGCGACCGTTTTCTCTTCTTCCTTTATACTCGAACTCGGCAAACGTGCGTTCTCGTACGAACATAGTCGCACTTCGAGCGTATTTATATACGGCAACGAGAGAGAGAGAGAGAGAGAGAGAGAGAGAGAGAGAGACAATGTCCACGAGAGCATCGGGATTGTATGCTGGAAAGATCGACCGAGGAAGCAAAAATGTAAGGTTTCCGGACGAGACGCAATTCAAGCGCGGATAATTTGAAAACTTGCAATGATGTCTTACGACTACGCCAGAAATATATCCCGAGTGTACCCTTACCTATAGGGATAAACGATATTCTTTATTCCGATGATCGTGGTGCTTCTCTTTTTCTTTCGAGCTCCCTCGAAATGAACTCTCTTTATTTTATCTTTCTTCTTCTTTCTCTCCTTCATCTTTTGCTTGCCCGTAAAAAGTAGTACACCGTAATTAATTCTTTGTTATCGGAAGACATTATCCAGAAATATCGTCGTTTTCGACGAGATTGCCTAATTTTTTGTCGTCCTCTCGTACTCGTTCGATCGAACGATTCGACGAGTAATTCAGTATTTTTGAAGTCGAAGGAACCGTAACCGGTTGTCACGTAAGTATACACGAGGTCTTACGTAAATCGTCGTCAGGGTCGTTGAAAAAGTTACGCGATGTTGTACGGAGAGAAGAAAAGATAAAATAAAAAAAAAAAAAAAAAATAAAGAGAGGAAAAAAGAAAGAAAAAATAAAAAAGCAAGAACAGCGATCGCAAAAAAGATATAAATGCACGGGGCTTTGCGAGTCTCCTCCATGATAAATCGCTTACCTCACCGTGCAAAGTCCATTGGTACACTTGACTAGTAATGGTCGACGTTACAACGTTTTTCTATGACTATTATGAATGATTTATTCATTATATTATTATTTACATACACACGACGATACGACGTACGGGTGTTTCGATATAAATAAGTGTAACGGTTTTCTTATAGCAAAAAAATCTTCGTTCGAACATGCTCCAACAGCTCGTAATTAATCGGGAAAATGAATTACCTGTATATGTCGTCGTTACGGCATATTTGTATCAGAGAGAGAAAGAGAGAGAGAGAGAGAGAGAGAGAGAGAGAGAAAGAGAGATCGATACGGATATTTTCAATTCGTATTGGCGTGGTCCAGCTTTAGGGCACTTGAAACGGCGCATTCGAGTGCGAGCATCCTCGTGGAAGTACTTTTTCGTTGCCGAGTACCGGCATTCGAGTACCGCTCGAGCGCCACTTTCAAGTGCCTTATCGCCAGAAGGGATCTACTTCTTTTAACGTGTCCATTCGCACCCGCGACGATTTCCATCGCGACGATTGACCGCACTTCGACTTCTTTTTATGCGGTATAAGACAGATATCAAACTTCCTCTTTCTATGTTTTTCCTCTTCTTTCCTTTTCTTTTCTTTTCGGCTTCACGAAACGTACATTTTTTTAACACGTCAAACTGTTCCTTTCTTTTATTACAAGAGCCGTCGTATTTTTACCTTCTCATAATGTACTTGTTAAAGAAATCATTGATTCTCCTAGTTGACGTGAATCCTTAGATACCTAGACCGTTTACGAGGAGATAATTGACGCTTAAAGTGGGTCGAGCACGTCGAGTAATTCGATAAGATGTTGTTTATCTTCTCGTTCGGCGTTAAATGAAAACGACGAATGGGAAGGATTTCGTTGAAAAAATCTTTGGTCCGACACGAAGTATCTAGACGGATAAATATTTACATGGATAGATAAAATCGAAAGCTCCAGAGAGGTAGTTATATAAGCCGCTAGTCCGATCGATTTTTCGGTTAATCCTGATTGGGACGCTAATGTGCCAGTTATCCTTTTTCCTACTCGATTCTCACGCTCTTCATCATATCCCACGAAATATCTAGATATTGCAATGCGGATTGCAGCTATCCCTCTTTTCTCATAGTATTCTCGTTACATCGATTATCCTTTTAATCGGATATGGACGGTGAAATTGCGTGAATGACCGTGAAATTAAAGTAGACGAATATTTGCGGAAGTTACGGGGTCAACTTCCCTTCCGAACGATCGTGAAAGAGCGAAACGAAAGAGAAGAAGGCTCTCTTGTACTTTTCCTCGAATAGAGTAACTTCGATGCCCGGTCAGGTAGGATCCTTTCGAGAGTTCTCCCGCATCTCTACGCATGTACCGATAAACAAACGCGTCGCGCGTCGCGCGTCCACTCGTCCGGAGTGTCCTGCACCTCTTTTCTTTCTCTACTTTTATTTTAAAGAAAATCATTATCGCGCGGAGGCGTGCCGAATGTGCTCGCAGCCCAGACGCAACGAATACGAGGGATTGAGCGCATCGTGACCGTGTCGCTGAGAGAGAGAGAGAGAGAGAGAGAGAGAGGGAGAGAGAGAGAGACCGAGTGAGAGAAGGAGCCTCGTTTGCTTGACGAACAAAGAGCGTGTTCGAGGAGAAAGCACGTTGTACGAGAATAAAAAGGGAAGAGAGAGAGAGATGCTAAAGAGGAACGCGAGGAGAGAGACGTTAGGACGATCGCGTCTTAAACGTGTGGGCGAGTCAAACTGGTTTTCACGTTCGCGTGTCCATGGAAAGAAAGGAGAAGAAAGAAGGAGGAAGGTCTTGGAAACGAAAAGCAAGAGCGAAGGCGACTTTCGTACGTATCGCGGTGCTCCCCATGGCAACAACGCAAGTTGGTCTCCCGTTTAACTCATGTACTACGTACAACTCTCTCTCTTTCTCTCTCTCTCTCTCTCTCTCTCTCTCTCCTCTCGCCCTTTTTCTGCGTACTCCTCTTTCTTCGTCTCCGCCGCCCATAATACCACCTCCGCCGCCCCCGCTACTTCCGTTGACGATTCTGACACTCTGCGATATCGCCGAGTGATAGTACTATG